TTTACTTGACCTTCAGTGCGGACTGCTCTGGGCCTCCCTCAGGGCTCTGCAGGCCTTGGTCGGGGGCCGCGGGGCATCCAGATGACCTCCTCCTGTTTGGGCCAGGGCCCTGCCATGCTGAGACTGTTTGGGGACAGGATGCTAAGGTGGACAAAAGGTGACCACCACCAGTGTGGACAGTACTGATAACTGTTGTGTTTCTCTTTGTTTCCAGATGTTTCTCACCGTGTACCTCAGCAACAATGAACAGCACTTCACAGAAGTGCCGGTCACCCCGGAAACAGTATGCAGAGATGTGGTGGATCTGTGTAAAGAGCCTGGGGAGAGCGATTGCCATTTGGCTGAAGTGTGGTGTGGCTCAGGTATGAGACCCAGGCAGTCTTGTGCTTGCGTCAATGTGTCTTTTATTACCGTTGGTTTTTAGACATGGCAGCATGTGACACTCATGTTTATCCCCAGAGGAGCTGTAGAATAGCATGTCCATCCGGAGATAGTGTTCTTGATCCAGCTTTGTTGTGACATATAAAGTCTATTTGCTGTTTTCTTTTTCTGCAATATAGTAAGTCTCCAAGGCAGGAAAGGTCAAAGGTTGGGCAGCTGATGCACCAGCTGGGGTGCCGTGGAAAAATGCGTGGTGCACAGAAGTACTTTTTGTATGCTTAGGCTTTTGCTTAACTAGAAATTTGAGGTATCCTGATTGTTTTGCACGCTCTAAGTTTTTGTAGGTTTCTAGGGAAAGCTCTTTGGTGTTCAGGTCGCTGTGGTGGCAGAAGTCAGTGGTGAAATCATAGGCATTAAGTCTTGAAATAAGTCCCTCAGTATAGTTCTTTGGAGTTCTAAATGGGATGGACTGGTTTCTTTTGGGCCCATAGGAGTTTGTAGATGTGGGAGTAATTTTTCCTAAGCTCTGCCTTGTTTTTCTCCGGCCGAGTGAACTCCCACTGTTTCCTTTTCCTCTTCCGGGGGTGCCAGACTACACGTCATGTTACCTGGGTTCACACCATTCATGGGATCGGTCTTAGCTGAGCGCTCGCTCGCTCACTTCTTACCAGGCAAGGCCTCTTCCTGCCTTTGGTTGACTTTCCTACAGGCGGGTGTTCTAGAAAGTCTTCTGCATGCGCCTGGAATCGCCTAGGTTAGGCCATTTGCATAAAGAAACCCAAGTGATCCTTTTTAAATGAAAATTTGATAGTTTGGCTTTCCTGTTGAAACTCGGTAGTGGCATTCTCTTCTACTTAGAATAAAATCCATACTCTGGGTTTGTTGTCATCTGGGGCCATTTCCCTCCTTGCCTCCTCCTGCATCTTTTTTTTATATTCCTGAAGAAACTAAACTAAGCTCCGTCCCACCTTCGAGTCATTGGCACTCACTGTCCCCATTACCTGTACTGCTCTCCCTCCGGGCTTTGTCATTGCTGGTCTTCTGGTTACTTGGATTTCAGGTAAAGTGTTACCTCCGTGGAGAGGCTTTTCCTGAGCATCTTGCTAAGTTCTTCTGATTTAATCCTCTACACAAGACATGCCACCTTTTTTGTGTATATTTATTTGTTGTTGCCTCTTTAAGTCCTTTTAGGAGCCCCTTGATCACCTGCGAGCATTTCTCTAGGGTAGTACCAAGAAGTGGAATTGCTTGGTTAAAGTGTCATCCTTTTTAAGATTTAATGTGTAGTGCCAGATTTCCCTCAGCGAAGGCTATGTAAGTGCACACTCCTTCCAGTTATTTCTAAAAGTATCCCTCATCAACAGTCGATACAATAATATACTAATTTTTGTTAGGCTGATACTGCCCGTTTTCTCATTGGCCATTTGATGTGTCTTACTGTGGGTCTCTTTAGGTTCGTCTTGTTTGAGACTCTGTGTGCTTCCTGGGCTTGTGTGGCTCTTTCCTTTGCCAGTTTAGGGAAGTTTTTATCATTATTTCTTCAAATAGGTTTTCAATTCCTTGCTCGCTCTCTTCTCCTTCTGGTACTCCTATGATGTGAATGTTGATACACCAGAGACCACTTAAACTATCCTCATTTTGGATTCTTTTTTCTCGTTGCTGTTCTGGTTGGATGTTTTCTGCTACCTCATCTTCTAAGTTGCTGCTTCAATCCTCTGCTTCATCTAATCTGTTGATTCCTTCTAATATAGTCTTTATTTCAGTTATTCTTTATTTCTGATTTTTTTGTTTTCTATCTTTTTTCTTTTCTATCTCTGTTTTTAAGTTCTTACTGAGTTCATCTACCATTACTCTGAGTTCATTGAGCATTCTTATAACCAGTGTTTTGAACTCTGCATCTGGTAGATTGCTTGTCTCCATTTTGTTTAGTTCTTTTTCTGGATCTTTGTTATGTTCTTTCATTTGGGACATGTTTCTTTGTCTCTGCATTTTGACCGCTTCCCTGTGTTTGTTTCTATATAGCAGGTAGGGCTGCTGTGTCTCCCAGTCTTAGGAGAGTGGCCTTAAGTAGTAGGTGTTCCATGGGGCCCAGTGACACAGTCTTCGCCAGCTCAGGGTGTGCCCCTGGTATGGATTATGTGTGGCCTCCTGTTGTAGTTGAGCCTTGGTTTTTGTTTGCACGTCAGTGGGAGGGATTGACCCTTGGGCTGATTGCATCTGAGGACTGGCCCGTGAGGAACTGATCCTACAGAACAAGATTCGCTTTAGTAGGGTTCTGGTGCCTGCCCAGAGTGCCCTTTGGGTTTGTCATTCTTGATGCAACCCTTAGTAGAAGCTGGCCACTGGGTGTGCTGGCCCTGGGACCTTCTGGGAGGGGCCCTGTGCAGGCCAGGTTCATCCATAACCTGCGCCATAGCATTTACCTACTCTGCCATCTTGACTGGAACTCCAGAATCAAGCAATTTGAATTACTATAGTTTTTTGTAATATGTTGGGTATCTGTAAGCAAGTGTTTATTTCATTCTTCTACTTTTTCAAAAAATACCTGCACTATTATTGTATATTCTTTTTCAGTTGTATTTTAGAATTACCTTGAAAGCTTCTGTGAACAATTCTGTTGGGAATTTGGTTGCTGTGAATTCATAATTAATTTGAGAGTTGTTTGTATGGTGTTGTGATTAAGAGAAAGTCTTGGGTATCAAAATCCCATTTCTGGCATTTCCTAACTTTATAACTTATGGCCGGATACTTACTCTCTGTAATATGCAAGTGTTTTATCTACAGAATTGGGTTAATAATTGAAACTACCTCATCAGATTCCAAGAGATAATATTTGAAGGGGGCTTAGCAGAGCCCCTGGCACATTTAGTATTGGCTCTCAATAAGTAATAGCTGTTATGTTTTAAACTCGCCCTTTTTTGCTATACATTGTCCAAGGCGCTCCTTTTCTAGAATAGTAAATATATTACTTCTGTTGTGTTAGCCTCTCATGTTTCTCATTTCCTTTCACTGACAGTCTTTTAAAATGAGTAGCTGTTATTTGCCATCTCCACTCTCTTACTACCCACTCACTTGTTTGCTAGAGAACATTTCCTGGATTCCTGTTCTAGGCTTGGTACCATGCTGGATTGTGAGGGATGGAGAGATGGAAGTTTCCTGCCTTCACATAGAAGCAGGTTTCAGCAGACAGTTATAGTAGTGTGATAACTACAGTAATGAATGGTTGTGCTCCGTCTGCAGAAGGAGAAAAAGGTGCTGGGAGTGGCCTTTTCAAAGTCACATAGGCACGAATACCATGACCAGGGGATAGGTGTGGTTGGAGCATGGGGTGTTAGTAGGGGACTTTGAGGACCTTCGAAGCGTATTTCAGTGCGCGCAGGCCTAAGCCTAACCTGTCATCATGGGCCATCAGGGCCTTAGCTCCTAGACCTTACATGAAAGTTCATGCCCTTTTAAGAAGGTCCAACCAGCAGGGACTGGAAGTTGCTTCACTGCCTTTGCATTTCTTCTTTGCTTCTGGAACCTGGAGAATTTCACTTCATTTCTATTGAAATAAAGTTTGTGTGTGCGTGTGTTTGGTGAGGAGGTAGAGGGTCTGCTCAGAATTTCTTTTGGGGGAGGTGTCTGTTCAGCTAGGAGTGTTTCCTTTTGGAGGATCTTGGGTAGAATTTCTGTGGTTTATAGAAGAGGGGTGTCCGTGTCCTCTCAGTATGTGATGCTGCTGTAAATAGAACCTGAACTGCACTTTGTTGCAACCAGGCCGATTAAGCTCAGGGTTCGTTCATAGAAGTGGCTGCTGAATACTTGGCTGCTCAGTTCCCTGCCCACGTCGTTTATGTAAGCACTTAGAGTCTAGTGTTTGATTACTGACAAGTGCATTGAGTTTTCTTAGGCTGTTTCAGCATCCTTGTATTAAAAGCGATGTTGACATTACTGAAGTTTTTTTGCATTTTAAGCAGTTGTAGCAAACATTTTTTTTTATATCCAAAATTCTTGAGATTGGAAGAATTTTTGAGGAGAGCTCAAGATATATTGTTTCTCCTGAAGTTCTATTTATTAGGGTATTTTGTCTCTAGAAAAGTTCTGACACCTGGCAGTCTCACTGGAGGGGCCAAACTGATAGATTTTCAGTGCAGTAAATAGCCTTTTGTTTGGAAATAGATACTGCTGTTTTTTTTAAAACAATAAAATTATGATTTAAAAATAGCCTAATAGTAAGATTAAGCTATTTAGAAAGTTATTTTTAATTTTTTGGTTTGCATATTTAGAGAGAATTCTAGAACCATTCGAGTCAGAAGGGAACCTCAAAGACCTTCCCGTGTAATAGCTCAGAAACGTCTTAAACTTGCCGTGCGGGTAACCTGCGGGCTCGTGGCTGGTACGGGGCCCGCCCGGTCCGTTCCGCTTCCCAGTTCTCCACCCATGTTCGACACTGATTAAATGTGTGGAAAATCTGTGATAATTCATTTTCTAAAGATTCTTTTAACGAAAAAACGTTATTGAAGAGGCTAAGTATTTCCTACATTCAGAATGCATATTTGCATGAAGAGTAGATGGTATATGCTGAGTTTGACTTTCTTTTACCAGCAGATAATGTGATTTCTGTGCGTTTCTTTTAGAACGTCCAGTTGCTGATAATGAGCGGATGTTTGATGTCCTGCAAAGATTCGGAAGTCAGAGGAATGAAGTTCGTTTCTTCCTTCGTCATGAACGCCCCCCTGGCAGGGACATGGGTAGGTAGCATTCTGAGTCGTAAGAGATTTGAACTTTGATTTCTGCATTGGGGTGGCGGAGGGAGAGGTGGCATGTGATCAGGTTCCAGGTTCCAGGTAATTTAGGGGCGAATGAGAGGGAAGGACCTGGAGACAGTGAGGAGAGACCACTTCTACGACCTTGCTGTCAGAGCAGACGAGGGAACGATTTTGTGTTTGGTTTTGTTTGATGGCGGGAGAAGGTCTATGATAGTTTTTAATGCAAGTGGGAAGGAGTCAGCAGAGCGAGAGCTTGAAATCCAAGGGACAAAGGAGATGCTTGTTGGGCGTCACTAAGAAGGTGCTCCCGCAGCCTTGGCCGAGAGCGTCTTCCTCGTAGGCAGAGGAGGGAGCTTCTTCCATTGTGACAGAACAGAAGGAGAACTTGCATGTGCGGGCACCTGCAGCATTCGCGGGAGCAAGGTGGGGACTTCTCATCTGAAAACATTTGTTTTCTCCGAAGAAAGAGGTGAAGTCATCTGAAAGTGATGCTGGAGGCGGCCGGCACTTCGAGCTGTTGCGGAGACTAGGAGAGAACCCCTGTGGGGGAAGCCAGCTCGCTGGGTCCCTGGAGGCCGATTGACCTCCCCGAGAGAGCATGGAGACCCTGAGACCACGGGCCACTTTTCTCCAGCCCAGAGCGTCGAAAGAGGAGAAAAAGATGATTAGATTGACCCAAGGTTGGGGTTTTGCCAGATCGATTCAGTGGATGGTCAGTGGGACAGGGACTGTTGGCCTGATGGCGTCTACGCCGGGTGGGGAGGAAGTGAGGACTGCGGGGACAGTGGGAAGGAGTGGGCAGGTTCAGAGCCTACAAGTCTCTGGTCAAGGAAGGCGTGCAGAGAGGAAGTTAGAGCCGAAACGAGAACGCTTTGACATTAGCTTTGGGAGGTGGAGCTCCTGGGCGACATGCTCCCAGGGTGGTCGGGGAACGAGCCCGAATTAGAGCCCAGGAAGCCGCATGCCGAGCGGATGCTCCCAGCTTTTGGATGGGAACATCCGGCATGAAGGCAGAACTTGGAGGCAGGGAACACGGGAGTCAGGTGGTCGCATCTGGAGTGACGAGGGCTGTGAGCAGAGTTTATAGATGACACTATAGAGAGGTAATAATAGAATTACCTTCACAGAAGGTAACCTATGAAGGTGGAGAAACGGTGGACTGAGAGCACTGGATGCCGAGGACACACCATTCCTGGGACCAGGAGGTCTCGTAGGGTGTGGGAGAATAAGCAGTTTCAAATCGGAGATCTGCGGGAAGGCCTGTTCTCATTGGGAAGCCACTGGTGGAAGCAGGATGACTACGTATTTCTAAAAACGATGGGACTTTTAAAATGGAAAGTTGAGGGTTTGTGACTTCAATGTATAATTCTTGGGAGTAAGAATGTAGGTAACGTGTTAATTATTGGATGTTAAAAATCTCAGTTTTATTGCTTTAAAACAAATGTCCATATGGTACCCAGGAATTAGACATTATTAAATTTAGAGTGTGAAGGACCCCAGAGTTGACTTAGTCTGGCCTCTTCCACTCTGCAGATGAGAAATGCTGATACTTAGGGGTTAAATGACTTGTCAGAGGCCACATACCTAGCGGCAGAGCCAGGAGTGGAACTAGAATCACCTCAGCCGGGCTGGCTGATAGGCCTTTCGATATCACTCATGTCCGTAGTTTTAATTTAAATAAGCAAGTGGTTTTTTCTTCAGCTGCCTTTTTTGGAGTTTTAAATTGGCATCTGCATCTTATTTTTATTTTATTATTCATATTACTGTATATATTCTTTTCTAATAAGTGAGTTGAATTTTACCTGTTCATCTACCAGTTCAAATATCCTCCTGTATAGCACTGGGTAAATTATTCAACAGCCTCTCAATAGTGCAATATGCAGTTTCAGTGTGTCTGTAATGTGAGAAATACACTCTGCAGATAAAGGAGCTGTTTTCACATTGTCACAAGACACCAGTGCCACATAGTGTTTAAATTGAGATAAAACAAGATTGCTTTTTAGTGTCCTTTAACGACGTGTTAGCCTTTTTGGTATAGACTCCTGGATTGTGGAATAGGCAACCGTTACCATATTCTTTTTCCAGTTTAACTAGGACCTGGGACCTAGAATGTGTATGAAATTATTTTTAAAGCTCTTGCCTTTACTCTGTGTAACTGAACGTGCTAAGGAGAAAATGGTTAAGTGCTGTCTCCGAGGCAGCAAAGAAAGCAATTATTCTTAAATGCTAGATTTATTTTTCTTGCAGAAATATTGTGCTATTTTGTCAGAGAAGGAACAGCATTTTAAAAATAAAGCTAACGTGTTAGAGTTAGGTATAAATATGATAACCTGGCTCTGAGGATATCGTGTTTATTGGTAGGGAATTTATGCTATGCTTCAAGGCAGGTACAGTAGCAATTTGATTCAAAAGACATTTTAATTTAAAATTTCTTGGGAGATGATAATTTTTCTCATTTCTGGAAGTACAAGCTTAATTTCATGTATTTTAAAAATTCTTTGTTGATATTATTTGTCTCTTACAATGTATTAGTTTAAATTAAGACTATTTTCCCCTTATGCTGCATTAAGTGGTACTGAAGACCCATATATTTTAGCTTGAAAAATTATTTTTAGTCTAAAAAGCAGAATTATAGTGTTTTGCAGTTAGTACTTTCCCAAACTAAGAAAATAGAAAATTTTTACTTAAATAAATGGGGAAGTTCTTCATAGCACTTATGAATTCCCACAAAATGTCCCAAATAAGCTGAGTATTCAAAGTACCGCTTGCTCCATTTTTCAGTTGCTTCTTCCCATACAAACACTGTTATGAGCACGAGGATGGATTGATTTAATTTTCACTTGATTCTTTCAATGACACTATTTCCGATTTCACTATTGAGTAGCTAAACGGAGAACTAGGAGGAGCTACTATTAAAAGCAAATGGTATGAATTACCCATAATCAGAAGTACGTTCATTTTGTTAATTTTTCCTTTTCTGGTCTCTGAATCATACCGCTCTCCTAGAGAATAACTAGAATATGTTTTCTGGTGCTTACGAGTCCCTGTTCCAAGTAGGGTTTTCCAAAACAAGCCGAATTATAAGACAACACCATTGCTTTTAGAAAATATTTTGTTTTAAGAATGCTTTTAACTTAAAATATCAAAGTTATTATAGAACTCAGAAATGAACTCTGATGTTAACGCCCACTTTTTTATTTTTGTGCTCAGTGAGTGGACCAAGATCTCAGGATCCAAATTTAAAAAGAAACGGTGCGAAAGTTCCCAGTGGCCACCGCAGGAAGGAGAACGGCGTAAGTGAGCATTTCTGCCTGTGCCAAGGGCGCACCATAGCGTCGCAGCCCTCGTAGCCTGAAATTCATTCCGTGCACTTTGTTCTTCCCTGGGTTGTCGAGGGTGGTTTTTTTTTTAAAAGATTATTTTAGATTTTTTTCGTAGAAACAATTTCAGTGATCTCTACAACGTTGTCTTGAAAGAAGTTAGATGCTGAATGTAGCACAGATGCGGAGCAGAACAAATGTGGAACAAATTTAAGGAAGTATTTGGGTTTTGGTGATTTTGTTGGTTGCTGTAATGCTCCTAGAAAAATAGAAAGTTCTGTATTAATGTTCTTGCTATTGTGTATGAATGCTAGCAAGTATCTTTGGGGTACTTTGTACACATTTTCCTTTTGTGGCTCATAGTTTTTAATACTGCTGGGGATTAGCCAAATTACCTTTCTTCAGTCTACAGTGAATTTATGGTAGAATCCAGATTATCTAAAATAGCATTCGCTCCTGCTTACCTTTCCTCAAATTCTTCCCGTTTGTATTCTTTCATCTTATAGCTATCTTCCGGTGATGAAGGCTGACACAAGGATGATAAGAATAGTCTTAGCTATTAACAGGATTTGGGTGCATCTTCACAGAATCTATCTTTCTCTCTCAGTGGGTATTTTTTTTTAAGACAGCTTTATTGAAGTATAATTGACGTACAATATACTATACATATTTCAAGTGCACAGTTTAAGTTTTGACATATGTATCCACCTGTGAAACCATCACCATAACCAAGATAATGAAAATACCCATCAGCCCCAAAGTTTTCTTGTGTCTTTTTGTAATCCTTCCCTTCCTGCCTCACTCCCCATCCTTAAGAAACCGCCAGAGGGTCCACTTTCTGTCACTACAAATTAGTTGTATTTTCTAGAATCTTCTATGAATGGAATCACCCAAGATGTACTCTTTTTGCATTCGCTCAGTGTAATTATTTTGAAATTCATCCATTTCGTTGTGTATATCAGTAGTCGATTCCTTTGCAGTGCTGAGAGGTGTTTCATTGTTTGGATATACCCCGCTTGTTTATGCATTCACCTGTGGATGGACATTTGGGTTGTTGGCAGTTTTGGCTGTTCCATATCAAGCTGCTATAAATATTTGGGTACAAGTCTTTGTGTGGACAGATGCTTTTATTTTTCTAGAGGGGTGGAATGGCGGGGTCATGTGGTAGGTTTATGTTAACTTTAAGAAACTACCAAACTGTTCCAAAGTGATTGTTTTATTTTACACTGCCACCAGAGTTCCAGTTTTTCCATGCCTTTGCCAGCAGTTGGTGTGGTCAGCCCTTTTAATTCTGGCTGTCTCCTAGGTTTGTAGTGGTATTATGTTGTGGTTTTAATTTGTATTTCTGTAATGGTTAACGACGTTGCATATCTTTTCACGTGTTCATTTGCCATTTTTATGGCTTTTTTGGTGAAGTATTCAACTTGTGCTCTTTTTTTTTTTTTTGATTTGCAAATATTTTTTTCCAGTCTATGACTTGTTCTTAATTTTGATAAAGTATAATTGATCGCTTTAGAAGTTTTGTAGTTTCAGATTTTACACTGAAGTTTATGATCCATTTTGAGTTAACATTTGCATGCACTATGAGAATTAAAGCTTTTTAAAAAATATGGATACCCAGTTGTAGAAGCTGTATTCGTTGAAAAGATTATTCTTTTTTCACTCAGTCGCCTTTCACTTTTGTCAAAAATCAGTTGCCATATATATGTGCGGGGTTGTACTCTTCTGTTCCATCGATCTATTTATCTGTCTCGACGTCAATACCACACAGTATTGATTACGAAAACACTGTTAACTCTTGAAGGCAGGTCCTGTAAGTTTTCCACCTTTATTTTTTTCAAAGTTGACTTGGCTTTTTTAGATTCCTCATGTTTCCACATGGAATTTGGAGTTCGCTTGTCCGTGTGCACAGAAGCTGCCGGGATTTTGGTTGGGGCTCTGTCGAATCAGTGGGTCAGCTCGGGCAGCCTTGCCACTTTGTCGGTGTTGAGGTTTCCCCTTGCGACCACCAGGCGAGCCCCCTCCATGTACCTAGGTGTTCTTTCTCAGCAGCGTTTTGAAGTTTTCAGTGTATAGGACTTGCACATCTTCTGTTCATTTTATTTCTAAGTACTTCATATTTTTATGCCATTGTAAATGGTATTTAAATGTTTTTTTCCAATTTTTGGTTTTGCAGTTTTGCTAAATAATTTAGTTCTGGTAGCTTTTTTACAGATTCCACAGGATTTTCTTCATAGATGATTACGTTGTCTATGAGTTAGAAAGTTTAATTCTTCCTTTCCAACCTGGATACAAGGTATTTCTTACTCTGTTGCACTGGCCGGAACTTCTAGGACCATGTTGAACAGATGTTTTGGGCATCTTGCTTTTTGTTCCTGATGACCCACTGTATCTTGAATATTTTTAATGCTGGTGTCATATTTTTAATGGTCGTTCTGAAGACTGTATTTTAGGTTTGTTGCCAGTGCCCCAATATCATGTTATGTTATCAGACACTACTTTTTTAATGTAAATTAACTACAGAACAAGGTAATTGCAAATCGTTTAAAATTAAATAGTTTCAGCAGTCGGTTTCATTTATGTCACCAACTGTTGAAACTACTTAATTTTAAATTTACCACTTAAAATAAAAAAATATTGGTCTGTATAATAGGTAGTATATTTTACATCTTAATAAGTAAATGTGGAGGTATTATTATAAAAGTTAATGGTCTCTTTAGTATTATGGAAGAAAAATGGCTAAATAATTTTGTCACGATTGGTTCAGGTGAAGCTTATAAGTAGTGTAAATAGACTTCTGAGGGAGAAATCTCTACGATCCTTTTATAGTAAGTGGATATTTTGTTGGTGTTTTATCTGTAGGTTCATAGTCCTAGGATGGATCTGACTCTTGCTGAACTTCAGGAAATGGCGTCTCGCCAGCAGCAGCAGATCGAGGCCCAGCAGCAGATGCTGGCTACCAAGGTACGTCTCGCTCTAGAAGGCCGAGGAGGCCGCCGCTGTCTGCGCGAAGCCCTTTGCGTTCTGCCCTCCTTGTCATACTCTCGGCCCAAACGTCCCCTGCTGTGCGGTGTGTTCTCCTCTTTAACCACAGCACTTTGACCCCAGTCATTCGAGGTCTTCCTTACCTCTGATTCTGACCCAAACAGCCGAGCTCTGTAGGGTGTCAGTGAAGCAGGGCAGGCGGAAAGAACCCTTCAACTTCTTTGTGGAAGCTGCGCTGTTCTGAGTTCGTCCTGAGTCGTGGCTTATCGCAAGGGGGACTTTAAAGTCCTCTGGTGCTGGCACTCTCCCCTTCTGCCGCTCAGCACCGACAACATCCTGCTTGCCTTATTTGGGGACGTTCTCCACCTGCAAATTAATCTGAACCCTGGCCGTGAACAAGGAAAACATAAGAAGCCTTTCCATGGCTGCCACTGCGCCTGCCAGCCAGTGGCTTCCAGTCTGAACCAGATGTCATGGGACTTTCTGTGTGAAGGGCATTTTAGGCTTCGCAGGTTGTGCTGTCTCAGCCTTGCAGTTGTAGCCGGAAAGCAGCCATGGACAGCAGGGAAATGAACGGCTGCGGCTGTGGTTCAGTAAACCTGTACTTAAAAACTTACAACCCGCAGGCTGTAGTTTGCCAGCCCCTGGTCTAAGCACTCAGGATCTGCAGCTGACCAGTCAGTGTGTTCACTGACGCGGGGGTTGCCAGTTGATGGTTTGACATAGCGAGTTACGCAGCAGGACTTTGAGGTAGTGGCCAGGATTCTGTAAGGCAGTTCTCGGCGTGCACTGCGCCTGCCATGGCCGCCACCTAGGGTTCTTCTGCACCCAGACAGCAGCTTTTTCACAGTCATGTGCATCATTGCTTCTCAGACTTTTATAAGCATACAGATCACCTAAGAATCTTGTTAAAAATGTAGGTTCTGAGTCATTAGGTCTGGGTCAGGGTCTGAGATTTTGCATTTCTAGCAAGCTCCCAGGTGATGCCGATGGTACCTACCATTCTTGAGTAGCAAGGACATAAATTCAAACAAGTAGGTTGGTTGTTAACAGAATAAGTCTCTAACCTCAGGGTCTTATTTTGAATCTTTTTCTGTGTCATTTATATGTTTTAGACATAGTAATCTGAGAATTTTACCCTTTATTTTAAATTGTATGTCTCATTATTCAGTTTTAAAAATTTTAATATAATAGCGATAAAAATTTAAGTTGCATAATTGTGATTTTCTAAAGGTGTTAGGTAGTTCTTTGGCTCTTTTCCAAGTGTATTTATTGAGTGTATATTAACGAAGGTACAGAGAGATTTACATTTCACATTTTATTTAATTCTCACTATAGCCCAGTGAGGGCTGTTGATCATTCCGTTTTATAGATGAAGAAACAGATAGATGTGTCTCCAAAGCTTATCATTTAACAGCTTTCTTAGACTGCTGCCCATCTTTCTGTAAGTTTCTTCTTGACATCGTAGCCGCAGTTCATGGAGACTAGTTCCAGGATGCTGTGTAAGAACCACTCGGATTAAAAAAGCCTATCCCCAAGAGATTCTGAACTTGGGCTCAGGAGTGTCTGTTTTTAACAAACTTCCAAGGTAGTTCTGATGGCCATGTGTAGGACAGATGGTGAGACCAGGACAGTGTGACCGGTGCTCCTCAATCTTGGCATCTCAGGGTTGTGGTTAGATTATTTTTGGGTTAGTAGTGTCCTTGCTTGAAATGATATGCCCAATGAGAGCTTTTATCTTTAGGAACAGCGCTTGAAGTTTCTGAAACAGCAAGATCAGCGTCAGCAGCAACAGGCTGCTGAGCAGGAGAAGCTTAAGAGGCTAAAAGAAATAGCTGAGAATCAGGAAGCTAAGCTGAAGAAAGTGAGGGCACTTAAAGGCCACGTGGAGCAGAAGAGACTGAGCAACGGGAAACTTGGTGAGTCGTCCCCGTGTTTACTTCAGTGCTGGAGGCTACGTGTTAAACTGCGTGGCACAAACACACGTTGGTGTGGAACGTTTGTGCAAATCCATGGTGAGGAGGAAGAAGGGGAGGCTTCCTATGTAGAGAGCTTTAAAGTAATTTTCGGAGACGTATAATTCACTGTAGTTTGGGTGCTGCTGTTTCCCCTGAACTAAATTTAGCTATTGAATGTTTCCGGGTCCCTCAGTTACCTTTGGAAAATATAGTAAGAATTTGTTTTTTTTTTTCCTCTCTAAATATTTTTTGACTGAAAATTAGATGAAGGCAAAGATTTTTATTCTTTATCATCAGACTAATTAAATTAAAATTTTAGTGGTTTAATAGCTCCATTTACCACTTTAAAATTGAGATTAAAGATTCGACGAATTAATGGAGTTTAATTATATTCATGAACAGAGTCTACTAAAGATACATCCAGAATGAGGCACAGGTTTTTAGTGATAGCTCTTGATTTCAGTTTCTTATAAAAGAAATAGGTTAGCTCTAGGACATTTCTGGAAAATTTCTCTCTCTTTTTTAGAAAGTTTATTGTAAAGCCTGGTTGCCTGGGAAGTGATCTGGTTTGTTTGTTTTTTTTTTTTCTTTTCAATTGTTGCTTCTTTCCTTTTCATTCTAGTGGAGGAAATTGAACAGATGAATAGTTTGTTCCAGCAAAAGCAGAAGGAGCTCGTTCTGGCTGTGTCCAAAGTAGAGGAGCTGACGAGGCAGCTGGAGATGCTCAAGAACGGCAGGGTCGACGGCCACCATGACAACCAGTCCGCGGTGGCTGAGCTCGACCGTCTGTACAAGGAGCTGCAGGTAAGCCGCAGCGGGCCCTCCCCTCAGGAGCACACAGCTGTCCTCAGAAGTGGCAGGAAGTGCTGGGTTTCTGTCTCTTTTCCTTAAGAGGGGGCGCAGGGGAGGAAGACCTAAACCCCGGAGAGTCCAGAGTAAGCATGCTAGTACCTCACACAGGAAATCCGAGGCGTGCCTCGTCACTGCAGCCAGGGTCCGACACTGGAACTTAATCAGCCGGGCGCTGAGAAGCGTGGACGGCCGGCGGTCCTGACACTTTTACAAATGATACAATAGTCAACCACGTGATCATCTGTTTGAGAAATTTTCCTTCCTACTCCTTGGCTGCCTCTTTTGTTTTCCCCCGTTTTCTTCAGTTGAGAAACAAATTGAATCAGGAGCAGAATGCCAAGCTGCAGCAGCAGAGGGAGTGTTTGAACAGGCGGAATTCCGAGGTGGCGGTCATGGACAAGCGTGTGAACGAGCTGCGGGACCGGCTGTGGAAGAAGAAGGCAGCGCTGCAGCAGAAGGAGAACCTCCCGGTACGCGGGGCCGTCGGTGGTGGCCGGGAGGGGGCCCGGGGCCAGCCCAGCTGCCGCAGCGGCTCCTCGGAACCATGGCCCTGTGCCCTGTGCAGAGCAGAGACGGCGCGCACGGCGCCTCGGGAGACAGCCCACTGTTCTGTCACCCGCTGCCGCTGCCGTCACCCAGGCGGCTCTGCTTTTCTTTGTAATCAGTGCGGATGGGAGTTCGTCGTGCGCTGTTTCTTGTAGACTCCAGGGTTAGACCCTGACAGGGCTGAGTTTTAAACATCGTGGAAAGGTCACGGCCTTTTCCGAGTCTGATCCGGGCTGACTCGCCGCGCTGAAGGCCCCGTGCTCTCCCCTAAGGTCTCACCTGATGGAAGTCCGCCTCAGCAGGGGGTGTCGGCCCCGAGTCGCGTGGCTGCGGTCGGTCCCTACATCCAGTCGTCCACCATGCCGCGGATGCCGCCCCGGCCTGAACTGCTGGTGAAGCCAGCTCTGCCAGACGGTTCCTTGGCCGCGCAGCCCGCAGAGGGGCCCCTGAAAGTCCACACGCTGCCCAACATGCGGTCCGGGGCCGCTTCGCAGACGAAAGGTAATCGAGTCGTGCTCGAGCCCTTCCACAGCTTCGCTGCTCCCGTCCTCACGCTTGTTTTTCCCCACGTTGGAGTTTTGAAAAAATGTCTTCCTCTCCCCGTTCGTGTTTAGATTCTAAGAGTCCCCTTGTATTCTTCGCTAGTGCCACGATTGGTTTCTTAACCCTCAATAATACAGTTCTAGTCAGGCAATGAAATAGAATGTCATATTTTCACAAATCCGAAAGTTGTTTTGAATTCCCTCTTGTGAGTAAGGACATTTCGATCTGATGGTAATAACTCGAGAACTCGTCTTATTGTGTTAACACCCTGTATGCGTGGTTGGTGGTGTCACCTTTGCAGAGGGCGAGGCAGTGAATCCACCCTGTTCATAAACAGTGTTTCTTCTTCATATGTGCTCGTGTGTGAGAATGTGCCTGCCGAGAATTTTTGGAATAAAGGTAAACGTGTGGGGCGAGAAAGGGGACTAACAGAGGCACTCGTGTGAGTGATCTTTGCATTCTGCACAGTCCTCAGCTCCGAGGGGAGGCGCAAGCCAGTTTGGTGACAGGGAATGAAGGAGGAACTGTGGGAAAATCAGGGTAAAAACATTCTTCAATAACCCTATCATTTCGACCTCTGGAAGGAAAAAATATTGGCCAGATTGTCTCTTTTCTCTAGCCACTGTCATGTGCAGAAAATAGCTAACTCTCAAATTATTATTTTGCTGTAATTACCACTGTGAAGCAATAGTGCTACCTAGTCTGAGTTTTATTGTAGTTAACTTTTGTTTTGTTTCTATAAGGCAAAATAAAAGTTGTGGCTTTGAAACTTAAATATTAGTATAGAAAATACTTGAATACACTGATCTGTGAAAGACTGTGGTTGAAGTCATGGATTAAAATCTGCATTTTTGCCTTTTTGTTCTGCATGTATACTTATGGTGGTGTTATGTAAGATACACCTTCGAGCCTTGGGTCTGCCAAGTTGGGAATTGTTTTCTGGGTGTGATGATGATATTTTCTTACCCAGCGAAGAATCGTGTGTTCTTGCTGTTCAGAGCAGACTGTTTTCCATGATTAATTTTAAATTGACTCACGGGGGAATGTTTTAAGTTAGAATTGTAAAATCTGATATTTCCGAAATAAGTTTATTGGTATTGTTATGAGTCTGCAATTTAAAGCTGTTTTTAGAGTTTAAACTTTTAGCAGCAAAATGGACCATTAAAAATCTCTTTAGACTGCTAGGTTATTTGTGGTTGCTTTTCTGCATTCTAGGTTCTAAAATCCATCCACTTGGTCCCGACTGGAGTCCAAATGCAGATCTTTTCCCGAGCCAGGCCTCTGCTCCGGTACCCAAAAGCTCCGGGAGTGCTCCAGACCAAGGTGAGGTTCGTTTGTGCTACTCCTGAAATTTATATTTTGCATCTAAAAGGGGCTGTGTGTTCTTTTTCAGATAGTTTCTTTCCCAGTGTGTTTAAACTAGCAAAAAGATTTCCAGAACACCTTCATTTAACCAGGGAGTTAAGGCAGTACCAGCATTGTAGTGTTGGGGTGATTCTTTAATCAGCCTAATTGAAAGATAGGAGAACATTCCGTGAGTACAGGGTTTCAAAGAGATGGAGGCAAGGGAAACTTACACGTGAATAGGACCTTTTATTACAGACAGTTTGAGTATCAGTGTGGGTTTTTTCCTGTCTTCTTTAGCTGATGATGGGGAGGTTCCCCTGAGGGAGAAGGAGAAGAAAGTTCGCCCCTTTTCAATGTCTGACACAGTCGACCAGTCTGCTGTCCCTCCCTCGTTTGGGGCTCTGAGGAAGAATCAGAGCAGTGAAGACATCTTGCGGGATGCTCAGGTACTTAAGACTGTTCTACTTTAACAATTTATGGTGATTCTAAATGCATTTTTTAGAAGAGGGAAAGTATTATGTGAGGGAGACCAGGGAAAAATATATATATACATATCTGAAAGATTAGAAAATACAACAGTATTCTGTCACTTTAAATTCTGTTGCCTGAGTCTCTCTGTGGTGTCACTGTCTTGGAGGATGACTCACATACTTGCTTCTGGGTCGTATTTCATGTGATTCTCTAAATATGAGTGCATCGAAGAACATTGTATTTGTGCTGCTCAGTTACCTTGTGTCTTCAAAATTTGGAGCCGAGGTTGCGTCAGATGATCTGATGGTGAATCTTTGTTAGGATTCCAGCCTTTGACAACCCGGTTATGGCTGTGTACTCTGAGTTAGGTGTTCTGTACCACAGTGGCCTAGATCGCGTGAACAAGAATGGTCTGTTACTGATGCCGTCTGTGCCTGCGTGAAGGCAGTTAGAAGTTTTCAAGGGGGCACTTAGGGTTGCCCAAGGAGGAGGTCTTACAGGGCAGGAATTGTACTGCATTACACAAGTCCCCTGTTAAATGTGATTAAATTCAGAGGTTTAAAACTGTAATGATTTAAAAATGTAGAGCTAGTATTTTTAGTGTATGTGTACATTCATGAAATTAGATTATTTGGAACAGTACTTTTATTGTTTTTTTTTGTGTGTGTGTGTGTGTGTGTGTCTTACAGGCTGCAAATAAAAATGTGGCAAAAGTACCACCTCCTGTTCCATCAAAACCCAAACAGATTAATTTGCCTTATTTTGGACAAGGGAATCAGTCACCATCAGACATTAAGCCAGATGGAAATTCTCAGTTGTCAACAGCTATCACATCCATAGGAAATAAACCCAAAACAGCAGGGCAGCAGCAGAGGGTACTGCTGTCCCCTGGTGTACCTTCAGGTGGCCAGGACCAAACCCTTATTCCAGGTTCCAAGCAAGAAAGTCCACCTGCTGCTGCTGTCCGGCCCTTCACCCCCCAGCCTTCCAAGGACGCCCTGCTTCCCCCCTTCAGAAAACCCCAGACCGTGGCGGCCAGCTCAATATACTCCATGTATACACAGCATCAGGCTCCTGGAAAAAACTTCCAGCAGGCCGTGCAGAGTGCGTTGACCAAGACACATCCCAGAGGGCCACACTTCTCCAGCGGTAAGGTTCTCGGTCTTCCTTCCACCTGCGTGCATGATGTGTAGGTCCTGCACCAGAGCGCTCATCCAGCAGTAAGCCAAGTGGCTAGGCCCTGTTCGATGCTTTCGTTCTGAGAGTTTTAATTGTGGCTTCTCTTCTGAATTGGGAATTTAAAATTAGTTTCTGCTAGACGTCAGCTACTGCAGCAGACATCGATGATAATAGATGAATAAAATGAAATACTGTGAAAATAATAAATGAAGAAAATGGATGAATAAAACCTACAGGAAAGACACGGCGTTGAATTCCCCGGGGCACCTGTTTCCACTCACCCGTGAGAACTCGGGGATAACCCTCTGCTGTGTTTTCAGTTGCTCTAATGAAGACACAGCCGCTGGTTAAATATAAAAACGTAAAAGGATTACTCTGTGTTAAACGTACATAATCTGGTAATTTGTGGGGCTCTTTTCTAAGAGTCATTTGTTTGTAGGATTAGAATAAAATTCACCATGTTTTAATGGAAGGAAAATGGCTTTCTAGTCAGGGAATAAGCACATAATCGTGGCCTAAAATGTCATAGTTAGCAAAAAATATATATGCTGCATCTTACTGTTACAGGTCTCAATGAAAACTGCTAATAGGATAATTTGGGGATTAGATCATTGTGATAGAATCAGTATGTTAAGGGGAATAGTTTGGCAAATATTAGTGGCTCTTAATTTTGTAAGCCAAATACGATTTTTCACATGGATTTACTTTTGAAAATTATGAAAGATGAGATAGTGTGTGTTTAGTTTTAATCTGGGCGTACCAATTTTCATTGATTCTACATTTTTTTTACATTTTGACATTTTAAATTTGGACACGGCAGTCAGTGATTTCTTACAATTACAATTGACGGCATTTTCTTAGTGATACATGGCATAATGGTGCTTGTAACAATCAGTGGGGGTTTTGATTCTGTAATAACTTTATTATGCAAAGATGGAAGCCTTGCTTTGTCATTTATTTTAAAAAATGAGTTGTTGTGAAGGGTATTATGTAGTAAATATGAAATTGAAAGAGGCTTTAGTTATCGTTACCTCTGTCTGTCGCCCGCCAGTTTGGGTTGGGTAATACTAAGCAGGACTTCTTTCTGTTTCTGATCAGTCTATGGCAAGCCTGTGATAGCCGCTGCCCCCAGTCCCCAGCAGCTCCCAGAGCACATGTACGCCAGTAACCAGGGCAAACCCGGGAGGCCGGAACCAGAAACAGAGCCTGCTGCTTCGGTTCAGGAGAACCATGAAAACGAAAGAATTCCTCGACCACTCAGCCCAACCAAATTACTGCCTTTCTTATCGAATCCTTACCGAAACCAGAGCGATGCGGACTTAGAAGCCCTACGAAAGAAACTGTCTAATGCACCACGGCCCCTAAAAAAACGGAGCTCTATTACGGAGCCAGAGGGTCCAAATGGGCCGAATATTCAGAAACTTTTGTACCAGAGGACTACCATCGCTGCCATGGAGACCATCTCTGTGCCGTCATACCCGTCCAAGTCGACCTCGGTGACCGCCGGCTCGGAAAGCCCAGTAGAAATCCAGAATCCGTATTTATGTGCAGAGCCGGAGAAGGAGGTAGTCTCTGTGGTTCCTGAGCCAGTGTCCCCAGAGGAAGCCGGGAGCGCCAGTGCGGGGAACAGTGACCTGCTAGCTCCTTCTCCGGGCCTTGATTATGTGCCTGAAGGAGTCCCAGACAGCAGCCCAACCTTCCAGAGTAGCGTGGAAGAACCAAATCCAGAGGCTCCCCATCTGCTCGAAGTGTACCTGGAGGAGTACCCCCCGTACCCCCCGCCGCCGTACCCGTCAGGGGAACCCGAGGCGCCAGGGGAAGATGCTGGGAGCATGCGTCCGCCTGAGGTCACCGGGCAGGGGTCTCTGCCTCCCGTAAGTAGTGCGACATCTCACGGTCATTCTTGGACCCTGGTCACGCTTCTAGGTGGGTGATTGTCAGAACTCAGTGAAACGCCAGCCAGCAAGTACGGCCATTCGCAAAAGGAGGTTTGTGTTAATTTGCATATTGTGGCAAATGTGTTATGCAGTTTGCCTTTTATTCTGTGATTCCGTTGGCATAGAGTGGGTCTTATAAATGTTTTCAAAATTCACTATATTTAGTATAAGGAACATTTTTGTTTTTTCAGGAGAACTGTTTTTTTGTGTGGGTGAAGGAGACGGTTTTATTCTTAGGCCTGTAACTGTCACATCTGTTTGCTCTTCTCAGCCAGTGTCACATATTAGGGAAGCACCACTGGACTGGGACGAGAAGATCTGGGTTTGAAACTTTGATCGCTAGTTTCGCTCTGTGAAATCAGGCCGAGGCTTCACCTTTTCATTGCTAATACCACTCTTTCAGACTTCACTTTTTGTAGCAGTGAAATTTATTTTGGGTGTGGTGTTTACGTGGAAACTCAGACTTCCAACGCTGATACAATTAGAAGGGTCTGGATGAAATGGGTACAGGGCGAGGTGGGCACTTTCGTAGCCTCTTCCTCACCTTCAGCTTAGTGTGAAAGTCACGGGGTGGTGTGATGACCTGTAACACTTGTAAGTTTTTCTGAAGCTTCGTATGTTTTGACTCAGGCATGTTGTTGTTGGTCTCTTGTTTAGACCAGGATCCTTAATTTTCCATGCATTTCTCCTGCAGGGCAAAAGGACCAACTTGCGTAAAACTGGTTCAGAGCGAATTGCTCATGGAATGAGGGTGAAATTCAACCCCCTTGCTTTACTTCTGGATTCATCTTTGGAGGGAGAATTTGACCTTGTACAGAGAATTATTTACGAGGTATGATTTAGTTTCTTAAACTCAACTTCGTATTGTAGTTTGTTTTAAAGCTCTAATCAGAAAGCTACTACAGAGAAATTGTATTTTTAAGTTGTTTTGTTTTGGGGGCACGGGGTTGTCGAGAGAAACACTTAAGCATGCCCCAAAACAGGCTTTGCTATTCTAAAGGTGTGATCGTAAAATTTTTGATGATGCTGAAGTTCAGTTTTCTCTGGGGGTCCTCTAGAGTACTTTTCTTTCTTGGGGAGCTCATTGCCTTCCTTTAAAAATTGCTGTGTGTGGATTTGTACCAGGCATGTTAAATTACAGATATGGCCCGTCCTTTTCAGAAGCCTACTATTTAAAATATTTTTAGTTGACCTTTTTTCCTTTCCATGGAAAATGTCACTCTGCTAGACACTAATTTGTGGTGGGAAGTTGGAGGCTAAATAAACAAAAATGACTATAAGGGTATAGTTTCTGGTACTTCAATTTTTAAAAAGCCTTTTTATAGTGAGGGCCTACTTAATTTGGCTATTCCGTCTGCCTTATTTCTAGAATTGTTCTTGGTATAGTTTTTTTGGCTCCTGTAGGTTTTAATTATGATTTAAACAAAACAGAACAGATGAGTCTATTTCTGTTCTCATGATTCTAAAGAGCTAGTTAATAGTAACAGTTCAGGTGACAAGAAATTAGAGTGACGGTCACTCTTATTGATGTTACAGGTTGATGACCCAAGCCTGCCTAATGATGAAGGCATCACAGCTCTTCACAATGCTGTGTGTGCAGGTCACACAGAAATCGTGAAGTTCCTGGTGCAGTTTGGCGTGAACGTCAATGCTGCTGACAGCGATGGATGGTAAGATTTCCCTGAAATGCCATTCAGCCTTGAGCAGTGTCTGCCGTGCGGGCGGTGGCCTCACCATGCCGTTGGCGCTGTTGGGGGCAAGGAGGTGCGTCCACGTGTGTCCCACACGGCTCGTGGTGCAGGAGAAGCGTGGTGGGCGATTTGGAGGCATTAGCGTGTGTCATCTCACTCCCGTTCCGGAAGCGTGTGGAGTTTTTAAAGTTTAGTGGTTAAATAGAAGAAGAAATGTCACAAAGTGGAACACAGTGAATTATCCTGCTTCAGCCAATTTGAGAGATGCTGAGTTAAGCAAGGTCTCCCCCTCCAGCCCTGACTCCCTGAAACTTCCTGAGTCTTTAATATACTGATTTAAAAAACCTGTAAGGGTTTTTGGTAGGGGGCTTAGTAAATGATGGGCTCCAGAATTTCCTTTACAGATTGGTCATCACAGCCGTTGTCATTCAGTTTAGAGCAGCATCGCTAGTCTTTGCCGTGTCTTACTCCTCAGGACTCCGCTGCATTGTGCAGCCTCCTGTAACAACGTCCAGGTGTGTAAGTTTTTGGTGGAGTCGGGAGCCGCCGTGTTTGCCATGACGTACAGTGACATGCAGACTGCCGCCGACAAGTGCGAGGAAATGGAGGAGGGCTACACCCAGTGCTCCCAGTTTCTTTACGGTGCGTAACGTTTCGTTCTGCATGACTCGATCACCGTTCTAACTTATCCTGTATCTCTAGGGTATAACTCGGTAAGTATTTGGAAAAACATTTGTATGTTGTGCATAGCCCTGGGCATGTGGTTAAGGGCAGCCTCAGTCACAGACGGTCATGCAGCCTTCGTGAGCGTGCCTAGAAGCAGCCGCTGTCGGGGACATCTTCAGCTACGAGAGACACTGATGCAGTGTCTGATCTAATGGCGTTAATGGCTTTTGACCATCAAAGGATCCTCTGCTAAGACTTCAATGTTTAGTGAGCGATGGTGGATCTAGATGATCAAGAGAAATGCAGTGTTGGTATAAGAACCCAATTGACCCAAGTTTTCCTGCTACATCAGATTTGACAAAGTTAAGTAAAGGCAACACGTATTTTAGAGCTAATTTTTTGGTTCTTTTGTTTTCTCGATTTTGGGTTTATGATTCTGATAACATCAGCTCTGTACCTAGAGAAGAATGGACTAAGGTTTTAGGTGGATTGTTTGGCATTTTTATTTACAAGGAAAATTTCTTTTATTTACAAGTCTTAGAAGTTGAGGTCAATTTTCTTTCTCATTTGGCTTGAGAGGAATTGAGAAGGGGAAAGAGAGACAAATGAGAAGGTCCCCGGCCTCCATGCCGCTGGCTTCCAGCCACTCTGGAACTCCTTTGCCGGTTGACTGAACGACTCCTGAGGTTAAAGCCAGGCTCTGTCGTCTCCACATTTTCCCTGTTTGGCCCGGCCCGTTTGCAGGCTCGTGGCGAGCGGGACAGGGTTAGAGAGAGAACAGCAAACCTCAAGTTCTCTTTGTCGCTCAGCTGTCATGGTGTGTGGGGGGTGGGAGGGCAGTGAGTTCCCTGCATTTTCTTTTTTAAATTATTTTTAAGTTTTTTTTTATTAGTTTTAGGTATACAGTTCATTGCTAGACATTTGTAGAGTTTATGAAGTGATTCCTCCATTACTCCATTGCCCGTCTGGCTCTGCACACGGCGATCACAGTACTGTCGACTGTACTCCCTCCGCCGTGCTCTACATCCCTGACTGTTTCGTAACCACTAACTGGTACTTCTTTGTCCCTTCACCTTTTTCTCCAGCCCCGTCTCCGCTCTGGCAGTCATCAGATTGTCCTCTGTATCCGCGAGTCTGTTTTTATTTAGTGTGATCTTTTCGTTCCTTAGATTCCACATGTAAGTGAAAGCATATGGTATTTATCTTTCTGTCTGACTTATATCACTCAGCACAATAACCTCTAGGTCCATCTATCTCATTGCATATGGTAGGATTTCATGTTTCTTAATGGCTGTGTAATATTCCATCGTATATATGAGCCATAACTTCTTTATCTGGTTGTCTGATTGATGGTCATTTAGCTTCTGTATCTTGGCTTTTGTGAATAGCACTGCCACGAACGTAGGGGTGCATAGATCTTTACAAATTAGTGTTTCGATTTTCTTTGGATAAATACCCAGATGCGTAATTGCTAGGTCAAAAGGTAGTTCTGCTTTCACCTGTCAGTTTTTATTGTTGATAGTTATGATTACTTTTTGTTTATGTTGTGAACTCCGGACCCAGGAGTAATTTTGATATATCGAGATATTATTTTTAAAATCAATATGATGTTAATATATATTTTCTGTTAAATGTCTTGGTCATCACGAGCTCTATTTAAGTATGGAATGTGATTTTTAAAATCATTTAGAGACATCTGATAAGATCTTTTTAACTTACGAAACACGGTGCAGACACAGTAAGTGTTTCTGACAAAGATGCGCAGTTTAAACGGTAACGGTAACAGACAACAACGAGTGTCGCGTGTCCCACTTAGGACACAGCATGGTTCCCTCTGCCGCGGCCTGGCCGCCCCGTCCCGCCGTGGCCCCCACATCCATGGGTCCCCACATCCGCCGCGGCTGCTCCCTTGAATTTTGTTTCTCATGTCTGTCATCCCTTCCTTTTAAAAAAGTTATCTCACCTGCATGTGAATCTTATGACTGATACTGTTCAGTTTTGCGTGCTTTTGAACTTTCCGTGAAGTGCAGTGCGTCGGTGACTCTCTGGCTCGCCTTTCTCCTTCGCCACGTTTTTGAGATTCCTCTGTGCTGCTGCGCGCAGCTGTGCTTTCTCTTCCCTGGGCTGTGCTGTTCCATTTTGTGGCTGTAGCACAATTTATCTTTCCGTTCTACTCTTGACAGACATCAGCCTGTTTGCTTCTTTCTTCAGTTGTAAACACTGGTCCTGTGACCATTTTGTGCTTGTCTCCTGGTGTCTGTCTAGAAGCAGAATTGCCAGGTCACAGTGGTGCAGAGAGTCCCTTCTGCCCCGTGTTCTCTTTGACCCGTGTGGACTTGCAATATCACACCGTGGTTGTAGTTTGCATTTCCTAGATTACCAGTGATACAGAGCATGTTTTTTTTCAAACAGTAATTTGTAAACTCTTAGTTTGGTAAATAGCACAGGCATGAGAAATTTTCTTCCCATTCCTAATAATTTTTTAGAAGTGAGACTCAAGTTGTTATTTTGAATATACTAAAGTATCCAGAATTTCTCATCCACCTCCTTCCCCATTCCTATCCCAGATGATGAGTCTGGCCAGCTTGAAAACTTCGTGGAATTACAGTTATGTGAAGTACCGTTGTCCTCGTGAATCTCGCTAGCATGCTTTGTATGTCTTATTTAAACAGGAAGGTCGGGAATTACTTGTCCCCATTGGTAGAAACCTAACCATTTAGGTTGGCAGAACCTTCTTTTGGAAAAGAAACAATTTCATGCCCCGAATGAGAGAGAGATATTGCATGCTGCGTCATATTAATCGATATTGGAATAATAAGTTCATAGTGTTCACATAAGTCGAAAAAACTGACTATTCTAAAGCAAGCAGATATTTTCCTGGCGTTTCTAGAAACATAAAGGTGAAAGTAATCGTGAACTCAGCTGCTCAGCTCCGCACTGCTGCGTCCTTTCCTTTGTGGTCATCGTGCTGTGCCCATTGGACAGAGGCATGAGTGGAGAAAGGTGACACTTAATGTAGTAGTTACTTTGTGAATCTGTTATTAACTCTGGTGAAAAGTGGACTTTTGAGATTTATTTTTCCTCTCCAGTTTGTGAATTTCAGTATCTTTTAGAATTCAGATTCTCACTATCTTAGAGCTGGCTACATACAGACTTAGAGCCTCTCTAAAACACTTAGCCACGTTTCTACATCCTAGCATGTTTTATAATTTTTTTTTTTTTTTTTATCTCTCCCCAGTTGGAAGCTGGTAGAGCCCACTTTAGTAGGTGCGCAGCCCTTCTGCCCTTTTCCTCTCTCTGCCCTGAGCTTTGGACGGGAGGGGAACGCAGTACTGTTTCCAGGGTCCCGTGGCCATCGCACTTAGGAGCGGGCTAAGATCCGACGGGCATATGTCCACTTTTCACACCCTGGACTCGAGCAGCTCTTTATTTATTTATTTATATTCATTCATTCATTCATTCATGGTGGGCCAGCCTTCTTTTTTCATTCCCGGGTCACACGCTTTTGTATTCTGAGTCAGACCAGTGTTGAGAGCGGGGCAGCTCTCTTTTTTTATTCCTGGGTCACAGACGCTTTTGTATTCTGAGTCAGACCAGTGTTGAGAGCTGCCCAGGTGTGTGAGTTTTCAGAGCTGTGGCACCTGCTAATTGGCCCTCTGCGCCACGGGCCTTCCGCCCCGGCCCCGCCAAACCTGTCTGTCGTGAACGTTCAAGGCGGTACATTCCGACGTGGCAGCGCGTGCCCACGTGTCCTCTGGTTTTGTTCCGCGAAAAGTTCTTGAGGGCGATATTCTCTGAGTTACGTATTCTGTGCTGTCTCTTGCCATCTCGATTTTAGGAGTTCAGGAGAAAATGGGCATCATGAACAAAGGAGTCATTTATGCTCTTTGGGATTATGAACCTCAGAATGACGACGAGCTGCCCATGAAGGAGGGGGACTGCATGACGATCGTCCGCAGGGAGGACGAGGATGAGATCGAGTGGTGGTGGGCACGGCTGAGTGAGAAGGAGGGCTATGTGCCCCGCAACCTGCTGGGGGTAAGTGGCCACGACAACGGCGTCTTCCGTGTGTCCGAGAGGGGCTGGGCGGAAACCGCGGTGGGACTGAAAAATATCGATAGCCTTTAGGTTTAGACTTACAGCCACGTTTTCGATGATTTCGGTTATGATCAACAGCACATGTATAGAGGGCACAAGGCTCGTCTGCTTTTATAAAAAGGTAACTGGATAATGTGATAGGAATCGAGCTTATGACATTTGAAAATTTAAATTTGTTTAAATCAGGATCTGTAAATCTGGCAGTGAGCTTGAACAAGACACTAACAAGATTTTTTTTGTTCTTTCTCTACTATTTGATTTTAAGTTTCATAGAAACCAATAAAATAAAAGGTCATAGCACATAAACCAGTAACACACATTGGTGTGAAGGGAGGACTGTCATCAGATAAACGTCAGCAGTATTGTCAGGGAAAAGGCTAGCTGGAGTGTTCGGACAGAGGCAGCAAAGAGGAAATGGGAAACAGTGCATCAGGCTCTTTTACGGTCCCCGTATCCCCTTGTACGGCTGTGTGTGCGGCTGTGTGTGTGTAGGGCGCACACTTGACAAAGGGGGAGAAATGATAAGGATAACTGAGGGACTGAGCTAGAAGCTTAAAGGTACAAGTGCTCGCAGAAGCTGCTGCTGGCGAGGAGGTAGGCGCATCTGGGGCGAGGCTGGGCCCCTGTGGCCCGGACGCACAGTGCACAGATCAGGAGCCCTGGCTCCGGTTCCGGCAGGCTTAGGATCCGGGCCAGGACAGTAGAGGGACATAGGGGAGCTGGAGGGGACGTCCTCCTGAGGTTGTTGCGAGGAGCAAGCAGTATCTGACGTATAGCAGATGGGAGATGTTTTTATTGGCATTTTCTTCAGCTGTTGGACAGACATGGTCTGGGGCACATGGAACTTCTGCTCCGGCCTTGAAGCCCGAATTGGGGTTCTGTCTGGGTGTCCTCTGCCTCGGCATTTCTTGCTGTGGAGTTGGTTAAAATGACCCCAGCGTCGGGACCTGGCTGTCTGGGCTCTGGCCAGCATCTCCTCCTCCCCACTCTCCCTTGTCCATTGTTGTTTGTCTTATGTGCAGCATGGGTGACTTCATCCGTCCCGACTGCTGCCTTCCAGATAGCAGACTTCATGATGAAACAAACATTTGGGGTTTAGACAGTATTCCTTCACAGGATCATAATGTAAATTAGTAGAGAAAAATGAAAGTGAAAAAAATTAGAAATGGAGCCCTTTAAAAAAGCTTTCAAGTTACCAGATGAAAGTAGGAACGGAAAGGTGGTTCTCTTTCGAGCAGCCCCGTTTGCTTCTGCGACGTCCGGAGCCCCAGAGAAATGTGACGTTTGTGTGCAGCCACTTTCCGTCTCTACAAACCGCAACAGCAGATGAGCAGTTTCACGTTTGCACTTTCCTACCTGAGCAGAGCTCTGCCTCTTAGAACCAGTTGCTTACTTGAGTCTTAATTTTCTAACAAAGAGGTCCCGTGGTTATTGACACGTGGGGAGAGTGATTTATTCCCAAGTGCGGAAGCCGTTGGCCGGAGGCTCAGTCCTGCTCCATGTGTACGGCCCTCAGAAGGTTCCGAAATCAACAGACTGGAGATTTTCATCTCAGTCTGACATTTAAATATTCTCAGCCCTTTGGAAATCTGTTCTGGGTAGAAGTGGCTTCTACACCAGTGGTCCCCAACCTTTGACCAGAGCTCTTGTAAGAATCTGCTGCCTGATGCTCTGAGGCGGAGCTGAGGCAGTGATGCTGGCGCTGGGGAGCGGCTGCAAATACAGACGAAGCTTCGCTCACTTGCCCGCCACTCACCTGCTATGCGGCCCGGTTCCTAACAGGCCGTGGACTGGTGCCGGTCCTTGGCCCAGAGGTTGGGGACCCCTGTTCTACACAATTTTTTCTGGTTCCTTTTAAAAAAGGAAATTGCATAAATGTTAAATTTTTAGTCAGAGACTCAGATATGAGTCTAGAATATTGTATTGGCTAAATAGCTTTCCTCTGATAAATAATTCTTTATATAGTACTGATCCACCGGTTTGCTCCCTAGTTTCCTAGCTGTAAGTCTGACTCTGCTTTCTTTCAGTAAACCTTTTTTCCTGCTTTGTCTAGGCGGAGGAGGAGGGGAGGAGGGCTTTTGTTTAGTTTGCCAGTTGAATTATTGGTTTGACTTGTTCTTGGCTTCAAGACTAGAGAGCTTGTGACCTTCACACACACGCTTCTCTTCAGCACTTGCAATGGAAAACACAAACCCACAAATTCCTAAAACACAACACTCCACTTATCCTTCCTTATGTCTGTAGACTTTTAGTCTGGCATTTCGTTCCTGACGGTCTCGAGTCCCATGACACAGCGTTATGACTGTGGTGAATCAGGTTAAAAGAGACTCTGATCTATTCTCTCTCCCTTGGAGTAGCAGCTCCCATACTGGAGCTCACAGCATATATTGCAAATCACCTTCAGCAGTTCGTATTCTTATTAGACTTGATTTACAGTCCAGCAGGCTGTGCAGATTGAGTTCATGCTTAGCCATCGTGGATTTTTATATCAATTCATACCAAGGTATTGTCACCATTAAGGGACCCTGTGACTTTTGAATGTCCTTATAGAATAGCTGATTAGGAGAATTGCTAAATGTGAGTCTTGGTGTCCTCAGGCAGTGTTAGGTGCTGTCACATGACAGAATGAGTCCCTTCTTTAGTTTAATTTCTCTCCTTTGCCACCCCCAATATTTCTTGAGATTTTGTTATACTGGCCAATGTTTGTACAATGTATAAATATTTTATAAACTCTTTTACAGCTATACCCAAGAATTAAACCAAGACAAAGGAGTTTGGCCTGAAACTGTATAGAAGTATAGTTAATGAAGAATTAATCTCTGTTATCACTAAGAAGTAATATGATTGTTTTTGGCACAAATTTCACAACTTATTTTAATGACAATGTAACTTGAAAGCCATGAAGAATGTGCTCTGGAAGAAAATGAAGGGTTGAAGCACTCACTGTCAGTGGGGGGCATTCAGCACCGTGAACGGAGCGCCTACGTAAGCCGACCTAACGGCGCTGGGGTTCCAGGTGCACTCAGAAGGATGCTCAGTGACAATCTTGTTTCCCACAAGAAGTGGTACCATTTATTGGGCTGCTGGGAAATCAGCTCCATGTCCTGCTCCACTGGAGTTTTTCAGCACCTGCCCTCGTACCTGTCCTCCCACCGGAAAGGACTAGCGCCATCACGGCGCCACCTCTGATTGTCCCCCAGCACTAGCAGGCCCTCGGGACCCACACGAAGGCTCGAAGGTGTCGCACCCCTGGATGTCGTCAGTGAAGAATTGTTGGCTGGTCGTCAGTGAGCAATAACTTTGTTACATGAGTTCTCGTAGCATTTTAAAAATTATACGTGTATTTGAAGTATTGAAAGCAAGCTACACTACAGGTAATTAGGTTTAGAATCTTGTTTTTAGGCTGAATTTGAATCTATATTTATTGCCTTTTGTATCTTGGAAATTAGAGATTTGTTATAGATTTACCCATAATATTTGTCGAGATCATAGGTGACTTAAAAACAATTGTAATAAAATTAAACTTTTCGACGCTAAGATTTTTACTGGTTTTAGTTTCTGATGTCATCAACGGCCTTAAGATTCACCCGCCATTGCAATATCATACCCAGCTGAAAAATAATTTCTTTACCAGCCATGTGATTAAGAAATATTTATTTGCTTACAGAAAACTCTGCGTTTTGCAATTTATGAGTTTTGTGGTGGTCTTTGACATGGAATTCAGTTTCTTTCTTTAAGATCTTAGGGACCATGGGTGGTAGAATAGGCTGTTTTAGTGTCCTCATTTTATTTCATGTGTCTTCACAGAATTATATATATTGATTTATGGAATAGAAACTTATCTAGACAAGGCCTCCACATTTCTTTTATTAATTACCAAGTTTATGAATTGTTTTGGAAACTAGTTTGCTTAGTGAAACTTTTATTTACTAGAAGGTAGAAATGAAAAAACCAATGGTCGCTTTTCCTTATGTGTTTTTATAGCTGAATTCTAGCAGGAAAGGAAGGTGAAAGACCATACACACCATGCCTTTCAGAGTACTGGAGAAATAGTGACAACACGAGCTAATAGTGTCACAAGACGCGTACGTTAGACAGAATTCTAAAGATCACCCGCCTCCATCTTCCTGTCAACTGGTGCTATGGACTGAGTTTGTGTCCCCCTAAAACCCATATATTGAAGCCCTAACCCCCAATGCGATGGTGTTTGGCGGCGCAGCCTTTGGGTGGTGATTCGGTTGACATGAATGAGATCATGAGGGCGGATCAGTGTCCTTACAGGAGGAGCCGCTCTGCCCTCCATGTGAGGGCTCAAGAAAGCCATTTGCAAGCCAGGAAGAGCTTCTTCACCAGACACCGAATCTGCTGGCACCTTGATCTTGGACTTCCCGGCCTCCAGAACTGCGAGAAATAAATGTCCGTTGTTTAAGCCACCTGGTCTGTGGAATTTTATCATAGCAGCCTGAGCCGACTTAAGACACTTGGTTATTCAGTTAAACACTAATATAGGTACTGCGATGGGGGCCTTTTCTTATTTAATTAAATTTACTAATCAGCTGACTTTAAAAGAGGGAGATTATCCTGGATTATCCAGGTTGACCCAGTAATCACAGGAGCCCTTCAGAGCTGGAGAGATGAGGCAGAAGGGGAAGTCAGCGAGATTTGAAGTATGGGAAGTACTCACCCTGCCATTGCTGACTTTGAAGATGAAGGGGCCATGAGTCAGGGACTGTGGAAGCCGAGAAAAACCCCTGGCTGAAAGCCAGCAAGAAAGTGGGTTCCTCAGCCCTACAGCCATGTGGAACTGAGTTTGGCCAATCTGGACACAGAACCTCCGCGAGGCTCCAGGGACGAATTAGTTAGCCCAGTGAGACAGGTGTTGGACTTTTAGAAAACTGTGAGAATGTGAGTGTCTTTTAAGCAGCTATGTTTGTGCTAATATGTTACTGCAGCAACAGGAAGCTAATACCATGTTGATTCTAGTCCTGGGCTGATGTATTTACTAAGCTGCCACCTGACCTTGCCCAGGACACTCCATCCCACTGAGCCTGTTTTCCTAATATGAACTGGAGTTTAATACCATCGCCTCTACACACATCAGATACTTGAGGAAAACTGTGCCAAGTACTGTGTCGAGGTACTCGGTAAGCTCTAAAGAATTGCACAGTTGTATGAAAGGGAAGCTGTGGAACTTGGGGAAACACGATCGTCTCAGTTTTATTTCTTTAGGCCTAAACTTTGAGCATCATTTGTTTTCATTCTCTCTTTTTGGCTTTTTACTTGTTTATTATCAGAGTATCTTTATATCAAAGCTCTTTATGGAAATATTTAAAAGTACAGAGAAGCATTATGAAGCAGGAGGCAAAATGACAACTGTTAACATTTGGGTATATTTCTTTGTTATAGTCCTGTGTGATTTTTGTCTTCACGTGATTGAGAACATAGTGTTTAGTTCTCTCGGTAGTCTCCTGTTGTATGCTTGATACGGCATCATAAACATTTTTAATGCCTGCATAATGTTCCATCATATAATTTATCCAGCCTATCTAACGTTGACCATGTGGCTGTTTTCCATCTCTTGTGTGTGGTGATTGATGCCGTAGTCGCATCTTTGTGGTAGCAAAGTTTTTAGATTCTTTGGAGCCTGCTACAGAGGATGTGTCTGTGGTTAAGTGTATCTGAGAATGTGGGGAGCACTTCCAGGCGCTGAAATGCTGTGCACAGGGAGGTCGAAGTGAGAGGGGCTGAGTGCCAGGCCTGAGGCACAGTCCGAGGAGGGCCGCGCCCTGCCCTGGAGGGGAGGAGGCAGGGAGGGCTTGGAGGTTAGGGTGACTTCCTCCCAGGGCGGAAAGTGGAGGGGATTTACCGTCTCCCCTATAAAACAGGCATTGACCAACGTCTTACATGGGAGAATTCAGGATACTTGATAATTCCTTCCCCTTTTCTAATCTTTCCTAAATTTGTTATGATAAGGACATACCGTTGATTAAAAAAACATCATTTCTCCTACTGTTACTGAAATAGACTTTTAAAAGTGAGGTTGGCAGAGTAGGTCAGCTCTACAAATGAAAGAAGGTGGAGCCGGAGAGGCAGAGCAGCCAGCACAGGGGCATAGGCTCGGGTGGCCTTTCTCCCAGCTCAAACACTGCCATCGTTCAGCCGCTTTAGTCACATCCTCAGCTCTCTGGTCCCCAGGCCACTTTCAGGCCTGGGTCCCTCCAAACACCTAACTCTCTCCTAAGCTTGTGCGGCCGAAGGGAGAAACCACACTGCGTGTTCTCATTCACGGTCTCGTTCATTCATTGTCACATTCTCTCATTCACGTTCATGGACTCCGGGGCCCTCGGACACCACGCAGCAAGCAGGAAGAACTTAACCGCATTCAAGGAGCATTTGCAGATCCCATCTTCCTATCCTGTCGTGAAATATTAGGCTGGCGTTTGCCTGTTTCAAGTCATTAGCTCGTTCCCATGTTTTATGGTTAGTCCAGGATCACCAACAGCAGACCAGTGACGGATCTGCGTGCCTTCCCAGCTCGCTCTTGTTCCCACACTAAAGTGAAGTTCAGGTGGCTGGCCAAACAGGGAACTCGCCTGCACCTCCTTAAGAGAGACCAAGAAGCAGCAGAAACGAGAGCTGCACCTACTTTATGATCAGTTAGAGCTTCTGAATTGGGTTTTTAAAAAAATTTTAGAGCTGCACATTGAAATGACAGATCAGATGCCTATTTGGGAATTGAGTTTGTCACACACTCACATTGGAAACAGGCTGCAATGGGTGTGCTCGGAAGGGCCAGCTGGGGCCCCCCAGGAAGAACAGCAGGGCACGCGTGGTTGCCTGGGAGACTCTTTATTAACAGTACGTTCGGTAGAAGGTAAGGCAACAAGGCAATATTTTTATAATGTTAGAATTTTCAGAAAGTAAAGCCAAGGAACACGTTTTGTTTCCACGCGTACTCCCAGGCCGGGTCCCAACTCCGGGCACAAACACCAGAGGTGGAGACTTTTGAGACGTTTCGAAGCCGGCAGCAAACAGCTCGTTTTGTCTTAGCCACACCTCGTCTGCAAACGCCGCCTGGTTTCAGTGTATCACTTCAGCCGACCATGACTAGAACCCCTCCGGTATTTATAACACTGTATAAGACCAGGCACACTCAGGGACTTGAGTTTCAGATTTACTGTTAACCAGTCAGTATTATAGAAAACCTGTCTCTTGTCTAACCCAAGTGACAGAGGCGAGCATTCTCACCTGGCCTCTTCAGATGCCTTGACAAGATTACTTCATGAGGCATCATATTTTCCATTTTACTCAAGGGAAATGGTGAGCCCCGAGCTGCTGCCACAGCAGCGTTTTTAAACTCGAAGTTGCTTTCAATATTTCCAGCAAGGACCTCGTGTCCTTTGACATTGACTGAATGTTTGCCCAGCTGTTAAATACCTCCCTGCATTTTTTTCCTGATTTAATATTGCTCTAAACAGGATTGTGTGTAAAAGTACAAAGTGGGTACCATTTACAGATTTAAAGCTTTGAGCTTGTCCAGGGTTAAGCGACTCACTTGCATTGAGTATAATGATATGCAAATCTTTTACTTTGATATCTGAAAGTTCTATCTCAAATGGTATCATTATTTTCAACTATAATCATCAGTTTACATAAATGTTCCCATGATTAAGGTCTAGATAAAAAGTTTCTCCGTGGAAGCTTAGTGGAAGCTTAGTCCGTGGCTGATTTTCTTTCATAAGAAGTCTTCAGGCAGATTAGTCATCACTTCAAAGTACTGAAAAACAGAGCCACTATGGAAGAAAAAAAAAAAACCAAGTCAGTTCAGTGACCATCTTTAAAATTAAAAGCTATTTAAGTACCTGTAGATTATTCTGAAAGGCTGTTGTACCAGAAAAGCTGAACATGGATTAAGATGTCGGTATGCTAGCTCACATTTTTTCTACCTGATTTCTAGTCTAGTTTTTTGCAGGTCAGTAAAGAGCTGTTATTTGAATCGGGTGGGCATGGATCGTATTACAGGGTTGACTAAGATACCCGAAACGTGAAACTTAGCTTATCGCGTCAGAAGTTAGTTTAGGGTGTGCATACATACCCCTGAAACTAGTGATTTTCAACTGTGGTCCTCTATGGAGTTTATGTGGGAACTTTAAATCAGATTCAGATTGACCGGCCTGGGATGGGCCTGGACAGCAGGGCTTTGGCAGAGTTGGCCAGGTGATGTCACCTGCAACCTCAAGGGAGGTTTTCTTGACCTTGCGCATCCTTAGCAAAGACTAGAGTGGGGGGTTCTCCAGGGACCCGTGAAAGGTGAGGACCAGAACAGGAGGGAAAGGTGGTGGCTGTTTCTCAGAGGAGACGGGGAGGAGGGACTGAGTGAGCCGGTCAGCACGGACTGGTGGGAACTGGTGGGAACTGGTGGGAGGGGATTTCCAGCAAGAATGATAAAGGGGCTAGAGTTCCCAGAACTTGCCATTGGGCACTTTTATGTCATAATTGTAGCCTCTACTTTTATACTGCAGTCTCAGGGCAGAGCTATTTCCTAGCAAGTTAGTGTTATTTGTAGCCAGCTAAAATATATTTTCAGTTGGCTGAAGGTACTTAAAATGCATACAGGAGTGAAACAGCCATTGAGTTGCCGGCTTCCTCTGGAGTTCAAAATTCAAGAAAAAGAGTTGTCTTCTTCCCGCTTGGCTTCTCTCTGGGGACTTTGTCATTCCTGCCCATCACTGGCCACCTGGTCCTGCCCTTTATAGCCTGTGCTGCTCCAAGCTCGATTCCCCCAAGTATGGAGGAAATGTAGCTGGAGCCAGACGATAATGCAAGTATACCCCAGCTGGCTGCTTTCTTTGACTTGAGAGAACTTTCTATCATTGGGATGACGAGAGGACATTTTGTGCTTTCCTGTGTGTGTGGAACTGGTATTCCAACTTACTTTGGATGGACGAGCATTTCAGAAGTGGGCACTGCTGGGGTTCGAGACACAGGAGCACAATAATTATATAAGGCAAGCTCAATTACTATTGCTAGTTTTATTTTAAAGGGGGAGGCAGCAAAGTGATGTGCTCAGAAAGTATTTTTAAGTAGATCTGTTCTAAGCATGCCAGATCTTCCCCCAAACCCAGGTGATTTCATCCACAGGGTTTCTATAAGGACCTTCCATGCTCGCTACTTAGCAGTGCATTTTTCTAAGAGGGTTCTCTTCGTATTTTAACCTTGTGCTGCACTCAGCTCACGGGAGCAGGGACCAGGTGTGTTTTCTTGGACTCGAGAATCAATAGGTAGATGAGGAAGGACTGCAAATTACAGTGCATTGTGGGATCCTAGACCATTTATAGGGCTGTCCCCGACAGACCAGAAGAGTTTTAAAGCAAAGCTTTAAAAAGCAGGTCAATGAACCATAGTTCTCTGTCACCCAAGTGGCAGCCCTCTCCTCCCCGTCCCCGTGGGAGTGAGGGGGTCGGCGTGAGCTGCTGACTCACAGAGATAAGGTCGAGCTGTATCGTTCCCGTGTTCTCGGGATCCAGCTGCTTAAATATCCCTGCGGAGAGAGAAGCGTGGGATGTCATGAGTGAGTGAGCTGCGACAGAGATCCCATTATCTCATTCCCCTGTCTGGCTGCTGATTTCACTGAATGTCGCAAGCAATTAGTTCTCCCCTCCTTCCCCAGATTAAAGGAGGATTCCCATTCTCGACTGGACAGACGACGTCTCTGGCCGTGGTGATTTCACCCATTGGAAAGGCAGGCTTTCCGCCATTCCCCAAATATCCACTTACTGAACTGAAGTGGGTCTTTCCCCAAATATCCACTTACTGAAGAGCGTTTCCAGTCGAACCAAACACCGAACAAAATTATCGAAATCGATGATGAGCTGGTCATCTGCAAAGCGAGCAACGATGACTTGGTGGAGTTGACAGGGCAGCTTGAAACCTGAAAAATGAACAAGCGAACCGATGGCTCAGGGTGAGGCTGTACCCTGGGGCGCCGGTCACAGGTTATGGGGCTGATGTGGCAATTTAAATTACAGTTATAATCGCGTGTGTCCCTTGGCTGCCTTCCCAGGGCTGGGTTTATTTAGCGAAGCCAGTGTTTCCAAACTGTTGCCCTTCGCCCTGCCTGCTCCTTACAGACTAAAGTAGAAAACTTTCCTATGTCCATGCTCACACCGCTTCGGGCCGTTAACTGTACTTCCTTTTATGTCTGTGTAGCTGTGCATCGTCTTGGAGACTAGATTCTTCCTGGATGTGTGTGGCAGAAGCTGTTCATGGTAAACGAATATTAATTTTCCCTTTTTCCATAGTAATACAATTTTAATGGGCCATTTCCCGGCATCCCTTGCAGCCACCTGCTGCCTCGGGACTAAGTTCTAGCAGAGGGATGTGTGAGCAGTGACATGTGCCCTTAAAGGCAAGGAGCCCGTCTTTCCTTCCTCCTCCAGTCAACCCATTGCCAGAACGTGGTTGTGGTGGCAAGCCATCCATGGTGCCGTGGATAAGGACAGCACTCGAAGGGCTGGTGACACAACATGCTAGAAGGAGCCTGGGTCTCTGACAGCAATACCATCCCAGCCCTGAACTGCTTGAGCTTGGATTGTTATGCGAGAAAAAGATGTATCTTGTTTAAACCAGTAATTTGGGGTCTTTGCCCAGCATCACGTCCTAGCTAATCCAGTGAACAGCCTCATCTTGTCATATTTGTCCCCAAAGCACACCCGTCTCCCATGCTGCTGGTCTCCCACAGGCTTGTGTCCCTTTTATTGAGATCACATGCTGCCAGGGACTTCCCCTGAGTGGAGCAGGGACGTCCCCCTTCTGCCTAACCAGCCCCGCGCCTGAAATGGGGAGCCGAGGGGCACCTGTCGTCACCGGCTTGGCCCGCTTGACCCCCTGGCCACGCGGAAGGAAACTTAGATTCGAGAAAGCTGAGCAGGCAAAGCATCCTGGACTGCATCTCATTTTACCAATTCGTCTTTAAAGGGAGAACGAAAAGGACGTGTTTGTAGCGAACCTGCACCCATCTTATTGCATAGCTTAGCAGACTTTGCATTACGTAAGCGTCACAATCCATAGAATTGTAGATAAAAGGAAACAGTTATAAAGTGTCACCTGCTTCTTCTAACGCCTTCCGCATCTCATAGGAGTTCATGGTACCAGACCTGTCCACATCGATTTCCCGGTAGATTTTCTGGAACATGTAAAACAGTTTTGAGAACCGTGACCCAAAGCAAGGCAGGCGGCAGGTCACCTCTGCGCCGTGTGCTGAGCGGGGACGAAGCTGTCCCAGCTCTGTGCCTCCGGCCTGGCCTCGGAAGAATCACCACGTCTCTGCCTTTAACAGCTGGTAGCCCCTCGCCTCTGTGAGCTGGGTGTAAATCTGCCCATCAGATCAACTAGCCAACTACCCACGGGCCCATGTTACTACCTTGAGTATTTTTACACCTGCGCTGTTGGAAATCCTACGTACGAGAGGTTACGTGGCCTTTTCGGGGCACTTTCGATGGTGGCTCTTGGATGACCCCGTCTCCAGTCAAGGAGGGGAGGCAGGGAGCAGACCACTCGGCCTGCGGTCCTCACTCTGCTCTGCCGGCACGCGCCCGGCCCTGCCTTCCCTCTCTCAGGCTCCTCTGTGGGTACCGTCGCCATCCCCAGGGGACGCTCCTGCATCCCCCGTGAGCGGCGGCACCAGCAGGTGTGTGTGCGCACAGCGCGTCCCCAATGCAGACCCCACCGCCCCGCCCCCGCCATGCTCCTGCATCCCCCGTGAGCGGCGGCACCGGCAGGTGTGCGCACAGCGCGTCCCCAATGCAGACCCCGCCCCCGCCATCGGGCCCGCCTGGGCTCTTACTTGGTATTTTTGGATCTTCGTCCAGAGAATGTAGAACTCCTTCAGGCCCAGCTTGCCACTGCCATCCGACTGCCCTCCGTTAAGGAAAGCTCCTGAGTCTGGGTTCGGGCAGGCACAGCGTCACCTGTGGGTCCTCCCTGCTGGGTCTTCTGGTGCCCGCAGCATGTTCACAGGGAGCTCTGGCGGAGGACCCTGCCCTGCCTTCACCTGGCCAGACCTCCGTCTTGGGGTTGGCGAAGGGCCGGATAGAGCCCTGCTGGCTCCCCATGCCCCTGTTTGCCGATTGGTCTGGGGGTGCCATCGAGGCCCCACACTCTGCTAATAAGGAGCTGTCGGGTGACAAACGGGCTTCAGGGGGCTTCTAGGGGCTGTGCCCTTGCTGACTTGGGGAGTGTTATCTGGCGTGGTTCTAAGAGGCCCTTTGTGAGGGGAGCTACCCAGTGGGGGCCGTGAACCCACTAGACAGAACTGAGACGCGTAGGCCGCCCCGCCCTGCCCAGCACTGCTCAGTAAGCACCAGGACAAGGGCAAACGGACGATGAGTGCCTCGGGCCAGCGGGCGGCCTGGGAAGGAGCTAGAGCAAGGGGAGGAGAATGCTGGGGGGCAGGGGGGGGGCCTATCTCCAAATCAGGAGAAAAGCGATTCACGTCAGAATATCACAGTTTAGGGAATACAGTTGACCCTTGAACAACGCAAGTTTGAACTGTGCAGGTCGACTTATATATGCAGATTTTTTCGATAAATGCATATAGTACTGTAAATCTATTTTCTCTCGTGCAGATCGACTTATATAGGCAGATTTTTTCAATAAATGCATATAGTACTGTAAATCTATTTTCTCTCCCTTACGATTTTCTTAATAACCTTTTCTCTAGCTTACTTTATTGTAAGAATACAGTATATAAAACATATACGAAATACCTGTTAGTCGACTATGTACGGGTGAGTCAGAGGTTATACTAGGATTTTGACTGCACTGGAGGTCTGCCCCCCACCCCCCTCATTCTTCAAGGGTCAACCGTATTTTCCTAAAGGAAGTAGTGGAAACTCTGTCACTCAGGAAAGAAATCTAAGCTGCTGCTTAAACGAGGGCCGAGGACAGTGAGCTTCCTGCGCCAGCCCCAGAAACACTGGCTGGCCTGCACGCTGAGCCCGAGGAGGCCACCAGGGCGTGTGGCATGGCACTTACGCTCGTCTGAAGTTCCCCATGTGCCCGAGTAACGAAGGTCAGCACTGACCACAGCCCAAGCACCGCTCAGCAAGCGGGGTCTGGCTGGCCTTTCTGGAGGGCACTACGTTTGAATCTGCAGGGCGAGATGTCACACTCCCCCGGCCTCTGTTCTCGGGGGCACATTAAAGGATACGTCTAGCATGTCAACCATGATTTTGCAGGTCTCGATGCTGAAGCCATCTGACTTGATGTCTTGGCCTGGAAGACAAATGAAGTGTGACAGGAAAATCTTCTAGAGCAGCACTATCCAGAATTTCCTACGATGATGGAAAAGTTCTGTATCTGCACCCTTTGATACAGTAGCCGCTTAAATTATTTTAAATAATCTGGCTCCTGGCTGCCATTTGGGGACAGCGCGAGGACAGTTACATTGGCCTCACTTCTCTGTGCATTAGCCACGGGCAAACAGGGCTTTAATAAGTGCTTTGAAAATAAAAGAAGGACCAGTGACTGGGTCTTTGCGGGCCCCCGAGGTGCAAAGTCACCTGCGGTCGTCAGGCAGGGGGAGGAAACGTGGAGGGCACGTGAGTTCATCCAGGCGAGGAGCTGGGAGGGGGGAAGCTCCCTCGAACCGTCTGTCTGCCGGCGTTTACGGAGCCCGCCTGTCCCCAGCGGAGTGAGAACCCGGGACCCAGGCACCCTCTGGAGACACTGTGCTCCACTAGGTGAGTCCTGTCTCGTCGACACTCGGCAGATGACGGTATGAAACCCTGGTCACAAATGTGAATCTGGTTCCCACAGACCTTGTGAGGAGCCCATACTCTTTGCCACCTGCTTGTAAAGGCTGTAACCTAACTTGTCCCAGAGCTGCCGTTTTGGGCACCAACCCCTTCTCGGGTACGGGTGTGAGGCTGTGTGGGGCTCTCGGACAGAAGGCAGGAGTCAGCAGGCAGGCGGGGAGGGCACCGAGCTCAGAGGCAGTGCTGTCCCCCATGTCCACCAAGGAGCAGCTGCATCCACCCGACGCTGGATCCTGCCCCCCTCCACCCCCCGTCTGTGGGGAAACAACGAGGCCTCAGTCTCCTTGGGCTCATGATGGCCACACATCTGAAGAGCCCCGTGACCTCACTTGTGCCTGGTGGCCTCAAGGGCGAACACCATCTCCTTGTCCCTCCACCAGCTCAGAGGAGGGAGGGCGAGGACTGGGGCCTGCCCGAGGGGGGAGCCTTGCACTGGCCTGGCCGTGCCTGGCCACTTCACCCGCCTGGTCCTGTGACTCACAGGAGCCCTACGACAGCCACCTGTTAGGCAGCTGCAGGGCAGGGCCCCATTACCTGTGGTTCCTGCAAGGTACATGTGTTTACTGCGCCGGGGGCGGGAGACCTGGCTGGCCCTGGGCGCTTTTTCGGCTCTAAGAGGTGGTTTTACTTTTATCTCAAAAGAGTTAGGCCAGAGGCCATCTTTGAAGTCCGCAAGACTTCTAGAATGATCCACAGGGCTGATGTTTGGCATATGACAACATACATGTTTGTTTCTGATCCAGGCTTAGAACTTCTGCTGTTGTATAAACCTCTGCTTGAGAAATAATCCGAGCTGAAAGGCTGTGAGAAGCGTGGCTCGCTAGCCCCTTCTCAAGTTTCCATCCGGCTTTGTTTGCTCTTCGTAGAAGCCCCACGGCCTGGGCCCGGAGCCACCATTCTGGAGCCTTGATATCACGTGTGTGGCCTGTTGGCCCAAATGAAGTGACATTTCTCCCGGCGAAGAGCTGGTCAGACTCATTTAAACACACTTGGGAGATGAGGCTTAGTAATGCCATTCCCTCAGCTTGAGTTTAAGATGGATGGTCCATTTATTTTTCCATGAGGGTTAGTTATTGACAGATGTCATCAGTCCGTCAATGATTTTATACTAAATACTGCCAGGGAACTCAGGGCCGTGGGAATGCTTCCTCGCTCCCGTGATCTGGGCCGACTCAGCCTTTTCTTACCCATTACTCATCATAGTAGCCACCATTTCTGGAGCGTAGACTTTGTGCTAGGCAATTTCTACATCTTCCCTCATTTAAGAGATTCAGCCATTCTTAAGAGGTAAGCAGTATTATTCCTGTCCTGCAGGTAAGGAAACGGGTCAGGAAGTTTCTGCAGCGTGGTGTCGATCGAGAAGCTAGTGAGGAGTGGGAACCCGGATGTGACCTCTGACCTCCTGACCCTGGGGACCTTGGTTCTTTTCAAAGTCGCATCACACGGAACCTCCTTCATCCGGTTCTTCGGCGGTAGCGGTGCCAGTGGTGGCCGGTGGCATTTGCCACCATGGGAGCAGTGAGTGATGGTGCAGCCACAGCGGCCAAGACACTGAACAGGGGTTCCCAAGCTCCTTCACGTCCGTCCGTGAGGGACGGAGCGGGATGAGGGCTTTGCAAGGAGGGGACACTTACGCTTGGCGAGCACTCTCCTCAGGATCGTCTGCAACTCGAAGGCAGAGATCTCCGCGTCCTGTGGAGAGGCGACCGGAGCACCGTGTGAGGCACACTGGGCAGGCCCGGGGTCGTGCGTGTGCACGTCTGACCAGCCCCAGGAGCTGCCCGCAGCTGCCCCAGACCCCACTTTGAGTATCCCCGTCACAGCCCATGTTTTGGACACGGCGTTTTAAGGCGCAGTGTGCTCTGGGTGCTCGTTCACCAGTCCCTCGCTGCAGAGAATATAGAGCATAAATTCTCCACTCTGCCCAGGTTTGCGGTACCTCTCACCCCGTTCCTCCCAGTAGCTGACTGAGGCCTAAGTGCCTGAGGGGCTTTTTTAAGACCAGGGAGTCTAATACTCTGTCCTAACCTGCTCGCATCCTGGAAATTTAAAACCCAATCTCCTCAAATGTTTTTATGGAAATCAAGGAGAGGAGGCCAGTTCCATGTCTCAGTTGGAGTGAAGAGGAAAAAAAAAAAACAAGAGCCCCAGGTGAGGCTGAGGATCCTACGGCGGGGGAGCAGCCAGAGCCGCCCGCGAAAATGGGAGGCCCCGCAACGGGCGGAGGCCTGGGGAGGACGCAGAGGACGCTGAGCAGAATCCCAGTTACGTCTGCAAATCCTCTTTGCTTTGTTCAGTTTGTTTCCTCCCCCTCCCGGTTGAAGCCTCCTGGAAGACGAGGACCGTTTTTGCCTTTGCATCCGCCAGAGCACGGAACGTGGGGATTCGGGGAACACCTACCTCCCCTGCCAGCTGGGCAAACAGCCTCCTGAATCCGTCATCAATGTCGTCCTCGCTGACGTCAATCTGCAAGGGGAGGCGCGGGAGTGAGACGCCGTGGACCCCACAAAGCGTGACGGGCGGCCGCCTGCTCCCCTCCCCGCCGGCCTCCCGCCCCCTCACGGTGCCCCTGCTCGTCCTCGCTCTTGGGCCTGAATCCTAAGCTTACGGGACTGAGAAAAAGGACAGTGTGAGGAATCAATAAAACATAATTTTTCCTAGTGAAAACCCACGAGAGAGAATATAAACTACGTGGGATGGAGTTATGCTTCAATTTCTCACACAGGTGTCGTCTCTAACATTCAACTAAAAGGGCCTTTCATGATCTCCACTAATGGGATTCACAAGCATAAGACTAGCTGGAATGATCCGAAAGGACTGTGACCGTGGCTGGTGAGCACAGCCCGTGAGGACCTTTGAAATCACTCAGTCTCTCAGTGAGGACACAGGACGGGCACAGGACTGAGGACGTCAACGATGGTGAAGCCCCTCAGGTCCCAGGACTGCAAGAAAATTCCTCCCTCCGGCATTTTCCTCCCGCAGCTCTGGACTTGCGGTGGCCGCGCCCGCCCTGGAACTCCTGGGCGGTGTCCCCCACAGCCCCTCAGGGTTTAGCACCGGGTCACAGCTCCTGGGACTCTGGGGAATCTCAGAAATCTGGTCGCCCAGCACTTCCATTTTATTGAGAAAACTGAGGCCCGGAACGGGAAGTGATGAGAACCTCACAGCAGTCGGCGTGGCACTGGTGGCCCGTTTTTCTCCACAATACCCCACGTCACACAGGCTCACTCTGCCCCAGTGGGCAGGGGACTGCCCAGGCCCAGCACAGGGGCCAGGGCCTGTGGAGGAGGCACGTGTGGACGCAGGGCAGGGCCGAGCCTCTAGTTTCCAGCTGTGTCCGTGAAGTCCCCGGGGCCTCCTGAACCCTTGGGATGGCTTTTCACTCCCCTGCTCCCTGGGTGGCCCAGGGCAGAGCGGGTGGAAGTCAGGGGGTTACAAGTACCTCGTCAAGGTTGCCTTCGATGTCATCATCGACCACCCTGGAGACAGAAGGAAACCATGTGTTACTGACTGGAAGGGACACGGGGGCGGGAGGAAGTGTCACGGAAGTCACAGTCACAATGGAAGTGTGATGTGACATCCAGCGCGGGGCGGGCTCGGGGACCGCTCTGCGTCCATGGCTTCCGTGATCACACATCCCCAATAGGGCAGAAGGGATCTGAGGAGGCGTCACGGCCCCAACAGCTCGGAGAGTCAGAGGATTTTGTCTGCTGGTTGGTGCTGGGTCCTCGGACGGCGCGGCCTCCCCGCACGGTGCTTTCTGTGATCACACATCCCCGATGTGCTGTCGGTTCCATCGGAAACACTCTGTGCCACGGGAAATCTGTCACACTGAGCCCCACGCGGTGTGCGTGGCCGCCTGCTCCTCTGCTTTGGGCTCAGAAGGCGGGCGGAGGCCGCGTGTTTCGGCGGAGCTGGCGCAGTGGTGGTTGACACCATGCGCACGCGCGGGCCGTCTGCCCCGCAGCGAGGGGCCGTAAGCTTAGGAGGGTCTTCCTCCCACCGGGCCACTACGAGTCCTGTCTGCACTGCCCACGCCTCGCAGAAGCGGTAAGGGGCCTCTCGGTGCTGACAGTTGGACTCAGGATCAATATCTTGGGACAAAAACGTCAGACAGCTTTGAGGGGCGGGGGGCTGTCAGGGCAGGGAGGTCACCCCAGAAGCAGGAGAGCTGAGGAGTCGAGGCTTCCCAGCATCCTCCAGATGATGGGACTGGGTTCGTATAAGTCATTAAAACGAAGACGACTTGATCGTTCAGCGAAATCGGATTCTGCAGTTCGCTCTACAAACCTCCCCCTTTCTACCCCCGAATATCCTGAGCGCTACTTCTTCCTTTGCTCCCCTGAGCATAAACCAAAGTCCTTCAAGAGCAAATCCTCACACTAACCCTTCGAAGCGGGCAGGTATCATAGACAAAGAAACCGACGTCCAGACAGGAAAGAGCTGTGCATGGGCCAGGAGCCGGCCAGCGGTGGGGAGGAAAAAGGGCAGGACGACCTACTGGTAGTCGGCCTTCTTCTCAGAAAAGACCCGGATGCAGAAGTCCCCGTCCTTGTTGGGTTCGAAGGTGGAAGGCACGAGGACGTACTCCCCCGGGGGCAGCTTGAAGCGGTTGAGCACCTCCCGCAGGTTGATGAAGGTGTCCGACCGCTCCCTCGCTCTGTGCGTCAGGAAGAAGTTTTTGGGGAGGTGGATGTTGGTCTGTCCCGTCAACTGATGGATAAACAGGAACAAGTGAGAGGGGAGGAGAGGGCTCCGCATCCGTGTCACCCTCACTCGGGGAGATAGGCTGACAGCGACAACGTCTTAGATAAAAAGCAAACTTTCGACCCAAACGACAGATGCTGAGCCAGCTCTGTCTGCAGAGATGCCCCGTGTCCCCACCCAAACGACAGATGCCTGCTGAGGAACTCAGAGGCACGTGCAGCAGGGGGCCCCGCGTTGAGCCAGCTCTGTCTGCAGAGATGCCCCGTGTCCCCACACAGAGGTCCCCAGCCCTCCTCTAAGTGCCCCCCGGGGATGTTTAGCGTCCAGGTGGCAGGAAGCTGGTTCCGTTCTAGGCGGTGTTCGAGTCACTGATAAAAGCGAAGACAGGAGCAGGCTGTGGAAGGCGGCCCAGCTTCTAGACAGGTGTGCTCAGTCTGCAGAGCCCCACCTGCTGCTGGCTGCACCGCCTGGCCATGATGACTGTACCGCTGCGGGGTCGGTGCCCTGTGTGGCCTTTAAAGACGCACGCCTCCTGGGCATCTCGTTCCGGTTGCCGCAGGCCTGCTGAGTGCTTGCGTGTAATTCGGCCCATCCCCACCCACAACAGTCCAGCGAGGTGACCGGTTCTACTGAGAGAAACTCGAGTCCAGCCGGGATGGTAACTCGTCTAGGGTCACACGGCCTGCAAATGGCAGCGCTGGGCACTGGGGCCAGGGCCCTTTCTGTGCTGCCGCATCGTCCTATAATACAGTCTGCGGGGTTCGCCTTGTTTCGAGAGCGCTACAGGACTGGGGGAAGATCTTCCTGTGACCCCGGGACCACACGTGGTCCACCCGGAACGAAGCCACGCATGGCCTCTGCTGGGCCTCGGGGAGGCAGCAGGCCCCCGGGGACAGCCCGAGGCCCCCGGGGACAGCCCGAGACCCCTTGCCCTGAGCTTGGATCGTGGCGGTTAGGACCTGCGCAACCTCACCAGGGCCCCAGAGGCACGGGGCCCTCGTCCTTCCCAGCCACCAGCCTCTGCTCACACTTCACAAGACCCCTGAGCTGGCAGCCTGAGCCTTTTACTTGTTGGTGAACTTGAGCCCCAGGGATGGGCTGACACATGCCAGACGTACCTCCTCTGGAACCTGCAAAAGATAAAGGAGAACGTGCTGAATCCCCGTCGGGGACAGCTGCGCACGGAGATGCCACCACCGTGATCGTCTCCTTTGCCAACCCTTTTCTCTGGAGCTTTAGCGATATTAACCAAATCAATGTGGGAATTACTTTCCAAGGAAGTCGAAGCATCCCCGCACTACAAACGAAAGAACCCTATGACTGAGCAGTGCTGTGGATGGACCCTCAGCACTATTCTCCACCTAGGGAGCACAGACGCCAGGCACGGAGCCGTGAAGTGGCCCCGCCGGCCGCAGCAAAGCCCACCTGGGCGGGCTCCTGTCGGCCACATCCAGCCTGTGTTCCCTTGGTTAAGTCACTTCCCCTCTCTGGCCTCAGGATCTTCCCGGGCCTTTTCCCTGACACCTCGACACCTCGACACCTCGTTGGACGTCTACGAGGGCTGGGCTGGGCAATGGCTCTCGGGGAAGGGTGGGAGCCGTGGTTTCTAGTATTCGCGAACTTCCGCGGTGGAAACGCTCCCCCTCCCGCGTGGCCGTTCGGAGGCTGCCATGTGGCCTCAGTGAATGCGGGGGCTGGAAGAGACGGCACGTTTGGCTTTGGGGAGCCGGCCGTAGCATGTCGCTGGGTCCTACCCGTCACGCCCAGGGGCACCCCCGTTCAGCTGCGCTGAAGTCCTCCCTCTACAAACTCAAGGTGGGGAGCTTTTTCTGTGCTACAGGAAAGGGGGGGCATCCAGGGGCCCAGCATGCTGGGTCATTCCGTCCACCCCCGCCCCAGAGGGGACAGATGGCTGAGCTGGGCTTCTCTTTAACGTGGTACAAAAAGAAAGGTCACGCGGGCACTGAGTGTGTCTGTGGGGAGCCCCAGTGGGACATGAAGACCTGTCGGTCGTTCCCTGTCCTGAGCTCCCCGCCTTCCAGGCCAGTGACTTGCTGGGCTCTGACCAGCTGGGTCGCTGGCTCAGTTCCTGCCCTCGCAGCAAGTCCCGGTGGGGCCCAGTATGCTCCGTTCTCAGCTGAGGCCACCTCTGTTTTTTGGGTATTGCTGAGCCAACCAGAGTGCCAGGCCTGGGGGACATGAGGGCATTTGGAAGAACCGAACTCCCAGGAAGCTGGCTGTGGGGCCCCCGCCAAGGGCATGGACCCTCCTGGGGACACAGAGCAGCTGCAGGGGCCTCCCCTCCCCCTGGCTTTGCTTTTCCTCGGCCAGGCTCCCTGTCCGGGGTCCCATCTCCAGTTCTGCCTCTTGGGCTGGCTCTCCTTGCAGGGGCTGAGACCAGCTAGGGAGACGGGACGGCGGGAGCCGCACCCGCGCCCCGCACCTCGTAGATGCCGAAGCCAATGGTGTGCATGTCCTCTCCCATCTTCCTCTGCCGCCGCCGGTGCTTCTGGATGAGGCCCACCAGGAAGGTGCAGCCTCTCTCCCCGTCCTCCTCGTCCTCGTCCTCCTCCTCCAGCTTGATCAGGTACTGAGGGTTCATCCAGAAGGTATCTGTGGCCGGAGAGGGGCTGGGGTCAGTCACCTGGGACACCAGAGCCCTGAGCATGGGGCCGGGGGGGCGGGGCGGGCTCTGCTCTGGTCTCTGGGGATGGCGGGGGGTGAAGGTGACGGACATGGTGAGAGACCCTGGGCAGGGGAAGCAGGGGCGAGGCGGGGACTGGACGGCAGCCGTTGGGGTGGGAACGGCCGCGGTGGGCCACGGGGAGAGGACAGCCTGCCCGAGTCTGAACCTCACGGGGCCCTGACGCAGACACCCCCCTGCGGTTCTCTCTCACTTGCCGTCAGGCTGGCTCATCTGGGGGACCGTGTTTTGTCCCCCCGGAGCAGGGGGTTGGAGCTGCGGCACCCCTCTTGGCTCTCATGTGGAGATCCGAGATGGGCTGGTGGCCTGGCTGAGACTTGGGGACAAGCTCCTGCTGCCCCCTCAGTGAACCCAGAGGCGAGGGACATCCTGCGTATGATCTTAGCCTCTCGTTCAGTGTCCCTTGTCCTCCCAGGCCTACCCTCCCTACTTCCAAAACCAATTTAAAGGAAGGACTTGAGATTCATTCACAGTCAAGGATAATTAGCCCGATCATCTTCCCTTACCTAATGGAATAAAACTCTAATTGTGGAAATAAAGGCATCATCGAGTACAGGGTTTGGCAGACTCTGGCTCCACAGGCTGGCAGCAGACTGGTTTTGTTTTAAAGTTTATTGGAATATAGCCATGTCCATCGTTCAAGTATGGCTGCCTTCAGACTACAGCGGTAGAGTCGAGTCGTTGCCATAGAGACTGGATGGGCCAAAAAGCCAAAAGGCTTTGTTATCTGGCTCTTTAGAAAGAATCTGTGATCCCTGAGCTAGTGGGAAGGAGAGAGAGTTTTGTCTGGGGCACTGGGCCTGAACTGCCACTTGGCGGCTGCATGCTCGAGGCTAAGGATTACAAACACCAGAGCTGGAGGGACCGATCAGCTTAGTGCCCGTGTACTTGCTCTGTGGCCCAAGTATGCCACTTAGAGCTGCAGCTTCCTCATCTGTAACAGAATCAGTGGGTGACAATGACCTGCCACCATCGCACTTAAAACGCTGTCAGACAGCCTGGGTTCAAATCCCAGTAAACCGTGTGGCCTTGGGCAAGTCGCTTCACCTCGCCAAGCCTCAGCTCCCTCCTCTTAAAGACGGAGACGATAACAAAGTACCCGCCTCAGAAGTTTGTCGTGAGGATTAAATGGAATTGTCTACGTAAACCAGTCACACAGTTCCTAGCGCCCAGTGTGTGCTCCATAAGTGGCAGATGTCATCATGACTAGACAGTTTCTGCAGGGGAGAGGGTAGGGGAGGACTAGGCAGGAGTCAGGGGAATCAGCAGAGGGCGGACCAGAGGAGACGTCCTCACGCCATGTGAGCAGGGCCCCGTCATGCGCTGAGGGAACCGGGTGTGATGGTTGCTGGGCAACAACTGGGGCCTGGATGTGCAGAGGCCCAGTGGGTAAGCGGCCCCTGCAGCGGGACCTAAGCCCGGCTGCTCGGGCTAGGGGTGGACAGAGTAGCCCCCAGGCATGGAGGGTTGGGGCTGAGAAAGCAGAGGGCCCCAGGGGGCAGCGGGTGCCTCCCCTGGGCTGTCGGGCTGGCGTGAGGCACGGCGGGGTCGGGCGAGGGGGCCCCGGCCTCTGGCGGCCTTACTTGGGTAGTTCCTGCAGCCTCCCGCGGTGGAGCCCCGCCTCCAGTTCCCATCCATCTTGGTGAGTTTCCACTTCTTGTAGCTATCGGCGGTGAGGGTGTCGGGGGTCAGGTTGCAGATCTCCAGGCGGGAATAGTGCCTCAGGAAGTCGCTTAAGGACATCCTGGCAAAAGCAGGGACACGGGCATCCAGGTTACAACGGGGCGAATTGATAAGCTTTGACCCGAGCCAGGCAGGGCAGCTGGGAGACGGCACCTCGGGGCCAAATGCCACCAGGCCTGCACTCAGACGGCACCGGTTCCCGTCTCAGCGCTGCCACTGTCCAGCCGGGTGACTGCGAACGAGTTACTTAAACCTCTCTGAAGCTGAGAACTGTAACCTGTCAAACTGGGAGCATGAGTATGAAATGAGAAAGCCTACGGCACTCACTGGGTCACTGGCAGGGAGTCGACGGCTGCAGAGTGGCGCACGCACACGCGCACACACGCACACACACACGCGCGCACACACACACACACACACGCACGCACGGGTCCGTCACGCTCTCGAAGGAACCCGTTTCCGAAGGCCTTGGCATGAAGCGCCACGAACTGGTTGGGAGAGGGGCCCATCTTTTCCCTGCTCTTCTTGGGATCCGAACATGACTGAGCCCCGCTCAGCCTTCTCTGGGAAGCTGCTCAGCTCGTGCGCCCCGTTGCAGAGGCGGACAAACTGAAGAGGTTTGCGAATGTTTTTGTGGAGGGTCTTACAGTGTATTTAGAACAACAACTAACCCTGAATCCCAGGCCCCTGTAGGAAAAATCTCACTAATTTTCTAGTAACAGTCACGGGGTCAGACACCTCTGTCCCTGACCCCTCTAACAACCTTACCAGAATTCCCCGTCTTCATGCCGTCTGGTCAGCCTTTCCCTCACCTCTGGGTCGACGGTGTTCCAGTTTGGGCAGCTGGAAACCAAGTCACGGGAGAGGCGTTAGAGACTGACGCGGGCCGCTGACTTCGGCCCCAGGCTCCCCAAAGCTGAGGACCAGGACCCACACCCCAGTGAGGGAGGCAAGGAACACACGCGTGGCCAAGGCTCAGCGGAGCAAGGCGAGAGGATGTGTCATCCTGGCAGGTGGTGGCGAGAGAGTCCAGGAAATGAACCCAGCCCGTCAGAGAGAGATGGAGGGGCCGCGACAGTGTGATGGTGGCAGGGCACCGCGGCCCCCGGTAGAACGGGGAAGACCATTAAGGGGCTCACGGGAGATTGTACCCCAAACAGCCGCGGGTGTAGCGGGCTGACCAGGAAGCCCCAGAAATCAACAGAGGGGCTTCTCTTGGGTCTTAGGCACAAAGATTAGGTCCTGGGACTGGACCGAGAGACTGGGGGTGGGGTGTGTTTTGTCCCTGAAGGTCCAATAGCTGGGTGAATCTGAGCGAGGGGCGGATCGACCGCGAGGACAGGAAGGGATGGGCCTCAGAGGAGCCCTGCCCGGGACCTGTAACAGGCACCCGGATGGCCGGAATGCGCTGCTCAGAGTCTGAGGGGGGCCACCTGCCCCATGGGTCCCACATGGTGCGGTCTGTGACCTCAGGGCGTCTTCCTCAGCATAGCGCCTGGGTCTCCCCAGAGCCTCCTAGCGGGGTGCCCCCGGGCCCCCAGTCCTCACTTGTCATTCCACTTCCCCGTCCACTCCACCTCTCCCCAGGGGTTCCGGATGCGGACCAGCTTCTGCAGGCTTCCCCTGCTTTCAACCTGGGGAGGAAACGGAGGTGCTGAGCTCAAGCCAGGCCTGGAGGTTCTGGGGTCCAAGGTCCCCTGCATGAGCCAAGGGGGTTGAGTCCGTGTTTTGGGGGGGACCCCTGCTGCCACCCGGCTTTGATGGCTGGCGGGACCTGACTCTTGGAGGACCTGGCCTCTTCAACCTCTGTCGTGAGCCTGAGGCACAAATGCACTTATTCTAGACTCCGGTGCCACTTCCCCTGTGACCCTGGGTTTTATTGACAATAATAGGATGTGTCTTTGTCACAGGAGCTCAGGGAAGCTTTACCATGAAATCCTGGGTTGGAGAGGGGCATGATAAAGGATATTTGGGGGGTAATTGGGAAAATGTAAATATAGATGATATTAGATGATGTTGAATTAATGTTTATTTTCCTGGGCCTGACAAGAGCACTGGGATTATGTGAGAGAACAGAAGCGTAGTGACATCTGCAAGTTACTTTCAAAAGGCTCAGGAAAAAAGTACCCACACAAAGAAAACCGATGTGGCAGAATGTGTGTGAGCAATGGTTGAATCGAGGGAAACGGCATTTGCACGTTTACTACGCTACTCTTTCAACTTTTCTATGGGCTCGAAATTTTTCAAAATAAAAAAATGTGTTGGGAGAAGAAAACAAAAATTCAAAGTAAAAACAAAACACTGGGTGTATCAGAAGATCTGGGGTCTAGTTTGAGTTTTGTAATTAAACAGTGAACTTAATCATATTCACGGTAATAATGGCAGCAACAGTATAGCTACATACTTAGTTCAGATACAATGTGTCAGCCACCGTCTGAGTCCTTTATATATATTAACGTGATGAATCACCACAACCACCTTACAATGGATATTATTATTATTTCTAGTTTAAAGATGAGGAAAGTCAGGGACAGAAAGTGTAAGTAACCTGCCCAGGCCACACAAGCTTGCAAGAGGCAGAGTCAGATTTGAGCACTAACTGGGGCACTAATGCTTTTGTGAGATCAAATGGGAAAGCACTTTAAAGAGTGTAAGGCACTCTACAGAAGTATCACTTGTTTCGAGCTGGCCCAGACCAGTAAGGCGGCTCTAAAGCTCAGTGATATAAGCCGGCCCGGCGGCCACCAGAGGGCAGCGCGCACCTGGAGGCCCGAAGGGCCGGGAGGGACAGGAAAGGGACGGTCCAGTGAGTCGGGTCTGAACGTCAGGAATGCAAGGCCTGTTTACAAAGAACTGTGGGAACATGGGAGCCCCTCCCTGGGCAGTCACAGGCCCAAACGAGCTTCTGGCCGTCGCGCGAGGGAGAGGAAGCCCCGGCCTTACCTCCTCCGCCCCGGTGACTGAGTACGCGTGCCCCTTCACCAGCTTCTGGAACGTGACGGCCTCCGAGTCCGCAGCGCTGGTGATCTGCAAATGTCCCAAGCATCAGCCCGGCTGCCACATCCGCCAGCCCCCACCCCTCCCGCTCCCACTCGGGTCCTGCAAGCCGGGACCCGGGCACACAACTGCAGAGGCCAGGCCCGGGAGAGGAGGACGTGGCCTTGGGCCTGGCGCAGAGCCCTGCTTTCTGCGCTCCTGGAGGACCTGTGGTTACCGCGTTCGGATGCTGAACCTCTGTTTACAATGAGAGCGAAGGCTAAATGCAACCCTCTGGGAGAGCGAGCGCTTGCATGAGCGTGTGCGTGGACAACTCCCTGATTTCCGCAGGTCCGGGGGCGCGGGACAGTGCGCACCATGCAGACGGCTCAGGGCAGACCCTGGACAGAATCGGGTGGCCCAGAGGCACTGAGTCCCCCCCACCCATGTTCCATGGTCTGGCCCAGCCCAGCTGCACCGTTTACACTGTGACTAGCTGCTTCCCCATGCAGGCCAGAATTCGCTCCTGTTCTATTAGAATTTCCTCAAAGTCACTCTCCTCCCTCATCTATTCCGGTGAAGGCTGTTATTTTTGTCTTCGTAAATGGGGAGATAGGCTGCGAGCAGAAAAGGTCTTTTCCTTCAACGTGGTCTGCAGGAAACGTTTGAGAACCCCTGCCTGGAGCTGGGCGGAGATTTGGTCTCCAGGAGACAGGACTTCTTTTCTCTGTGCCATGGGGACTGGACAGGACAGGGCTGGGGAGTGGGCACAGCCCTTGCCCCGAGGCTCCTTGAGGACAGATATGGCGCCCACCTCCCTCCCCCTGGTGAGGTTTGCCGGCAAGGCCAGTATGAGGACATGAGTCCTTCTGTGCCTTCTGAAGTCTTCCCACGGGCCCTTAACCCTGCAGCCCTGAAGGGGAAGGCTGATGGCCTCCAGGTACAGGCCCTACAGATGGGGGAAGGTGTCTGGAGCGGTCCTTCCCTAGGGACCAGCAGAGCGCAGGGCTTCTCATGAACCTGTGGTCTGGGGTGGCCATTCACAGGAGGCTGAGGGTGGGAAGTGGGCTGCAGAGGGAAGGGGTGGGCGGTAACATGCCCCTGCAATTGTACTCCAGACAGCCTGTTGCCTGGCAACCTCTGGCTTCCAGGTGATGCTCAATATGGTGGACAAGGACGGGCTAATGTCGTAAATCGGGGCAGTGGGTTTCCCCGGGCACTGCTGGAGGCTCGCTTCAAGGAGAGCAGACCAGAGGCGGGGGCGGGGAGGGAGGCCACGACTTACGTCAATGGAGCAGCCGAGGAGAGAGCCTTTCTGCAGAGCCTTCTGGATGATCCTGAACAAGTTGGAAGGAGCCTTCCTCAACTCATACCACTCAGCGATGCCTCCGGTGAAGTCCTCGAAGCCCTCGGTGGTGGCGCCCCCTGAGAGCGCTTCATAACACCCATTGATCCTGCAGGAGAGGAAGAGATGCTGCCGCCGCCTGGTGCTGCCACCACCGCCTCTCAGTGTCCCCTCCTTGATGCCTCTTTTGTTGGATGCTCCAGGGACCCTCTGCTCAGATTCTCCTTGCCTTGGTCTCCCAGTCACGGTGCCCACGAGGGCAACTTACCCTCTCCAGAGTTATTTCCCTGGTACTTTGAGAAGTGTTTTGAAAATCTCGGAACCCGAGAGTCAGAAGGCCCTGGGCGATTATCCGGCCCGACCTCCTGTACTGATTCTTTCTACCTCGTAGGGGAAAAGGGGAGGTCTTCCAGTGAGCTCTTTGGCATTTATAACTTTAAAAAAGACAATAGTTCAGTAATGAAAGGCGTTTCTCTGAGCAGTAGACACTGGGGGGGTGGGGGGCGGAATTGCTCCTGACTGCCACGCGGGCGTCCTGTGGCTTCTCTAACCCTGCTGGCTGAGCACTTAGAAGCGGCTCTGAGGTCCCGCGGTCTCCCCAGCAGGGCTGTAAGGAACAGAAATGCCCCGATGCCATAGAGCCGGTCACTTTAACGGACGGAGCCCAGGCAGCACAGCCAGGATGAGGCCTTTCTGTAGGGGCTGACATGGGCCTTCCCGTTGAGAACGGGCAGTGTCGAGCTCTGGACAACTGGCCTCTGGGCATGTGGGTGGGCCACAGCTGGGAGGAGTGTGGGAAACCATTTCTAATCAGACACACTATATATTCTGGACAAATGTCCATAATTTTCATAGCTCTGCGATGGATGGTTTTGCCCATTGGCAAAAACTCTTTGCCGTATTTAGCTGACAAAAAGGTGACAGGACCCGCCAAAGCAGTAGAATGGAGGTCTTTCTCAAGGCCGGCATCCCCAGTACCATCCCTGCTCCTGTGCGTTTGGTTAAAAACAGCAATCCCGGTCATTTATCAGGGCGCGAGGCCTGATATGCACACATGGAACTTAGAGCCCAGTGTTGGCCAAAGCCGTCCCTCTAGAGGACAGGTCTTCTCCTCAGAGGCCTCCTTGTGTGGTTCCTGTTTACTTGAGAATCCGGGGCAGCCGGGGGCGGGCCGTCGGGGGGGACGGCGCGGACACTCACTTGGCGTAGGCCTTCTCCAGCAGGGCGCTCCAGAACTCGCTCCCCTCTGCCGAGTGCACGAAGAGCAGCTCCCCGTCCTTGGTGGGCAGCCGGTCGTCCACCACCACCTCCACCCACTCGCCGTACTGCCAGAACTGCGGGGAGGAAGCGGGCGGAGTGTGGCGGGGGGTGCCGGAGCCCGGGGCAGCCTGCGCGCCCTGAGCCGCGGCTGCATCTGGCCCCCATCTGGCCCCTGTCTGGCCCCCGTCTGGCCCCCATCTGCCTTTCCTTGGCCTGCAAAGCTACTTGTGATGGCGGAGGAGACACTGGGGGTCGGCTGAGCACTAAGTGCTCGGTGTGGGCTTTGAGCCCGGCCTGGGGGAGATGCTTCTCCCACCTCTGCTCCTGCAGGCGAGTCCCCCCGAGAGGCCGAGGACGGAGGTGCTCGTCCCGCCCCCCAAGTCCAGTCTGCCCAGCACCTTATGCTTTTAAAAATATCATTTCTCATTTACCAGCACAAAAGGGGCGTGAGCAGTCCCTTAACACGCTGTCCCAGACGTCAAAACTACTTTTTTTTTTGTAACTTAGGAAGCATTTCCTGCTCTACCCGTCTCCTGGCAGGTCCCCCGCTGCCATCCGCAAGGGGCAGGACAGGGGGCGCTCTGGTCTCCCAGTGTCCTTTATAGAACAGCCTGCAGTCTGCAGTCACGGGGGACAGATGAACTCTGCCAGGCCCGGGGACCTTTCCCAGCCCCCGGGACCTGTTGAGGAAAAGCCTGAGCCGACCCTTAAGTCACCTGGAAGTGGAAGATGCCGGCATAGTTTTCCTGGAAGCTCTGGTTTAAGGGGACGACACGAGCCAGGATTTCTTCATTCAAGGTGAGGGAGGCGATGGCTGCCAGTAGCCAGCAGTCACCTGCGAACACAGCGCAAGGAGCTCTCATCAGAGGGGGCTCAGCGCCCAGAGGACGTGAAATGTCTCGTCCTGTCTCTGAGCTTGAAGCCAGAGACAGCCGTGCACAGACAGGGCTGCGTCTCAGGTGGCCCTGGCGCGAGGGGCAGGTGGGAGGGCTGGGCGATGCTTTGAGGGGATGCTAAGGGAGACGGGTATCTGGGGTGGCGATGTGGGACCCAGAGCTCCGATGGCTGGGCTCTGTCCTCGCTGCCAGCCGGGCCTGGTGCACAGGGGCACTCAGCGGGGTCGTCTGCGGAGTGAGGACCCCACTGGGCGTCAGGGGCTCTGAGATCGCAGGGGGTAAGGGGGAGTTGGGGTGAGAGGAAGAGATTCAGTGATAGAGGGGAAGCGGTCGAACGCTGTGCGCCTCCTCCTGGGCGAAGGGGGCAGAGGCCAGAGAGGAGAGGCTGGCAGGCGGCCCAACGCGGGAAGTGCCCAGAGACGCGAAGGCACGAGCCGGGAGTCAGGGGAGGGGCGAGGCCACGCGAACGCATTGCTTCTGGGGTGTCGGCACCACGCGTTATGGGGTGGCGGGGGGGCAAAGATGGGGACAGCCAGATGGGCCGCTGATCGGGCATCGCGTCCCTTCTCCGCACCTCAGTGTCCTCCTCTCTGACACGTGGATAGCGGGGGCCCGTGTGCAAAGCGCTCGCACCGTCTGGCGCCCGTGGTAGGGGCTCAGCACGGCCAGCACCACGCCCTTCACGTGGTCAGAAGCGAGCCGGGGCCAGCGACAGCGCAGGGCGGTTTGCGGGGAGCGGGCATGTTCGCCACCCCGCCTGAGGGGTTCTGGGAAGAGGATGAGGAAGTTGACCTCATTCTTCAGGAATGTCCACTTTCCAACAATTTCCCATGACAATAATAGGTGAGCTTAACTTTTATCGTCGGGGTTATTTTTACTAATTGGCAAGTCTAATTAAAAATGTTACTGAAGTTCACCGAGTTCTTTGCATTCTGGTCGACTACTTGGTGTCCCAGTAGCCTTTGAACGAGATCGTCCTCTGACCATTCAGAGAGGAGGCGTGTAGCTCTTTGAGGCCTGTGTATGCTGGTGACAGCTGTGCTAGGTGGAGACACATCCCTCCCTAATGAGTCAGTCACCCCAGGAAGTTGAATCCTTTGCTCCTTCGGTTGGGTGGGTGCTGTGATTCACCTGTAGTTCTGCACCCAGCAGCCATTTGCTTTCTGCCCGGTAACCCCGATGTCCCTTTGAGAAACCAGCCTCCCTGCATTTCCAGCCCGTGAGGTTTCAGCGGCGCTGGCCACCCCCAGCTCCAGAAGTGGCCGGCAGCAAGCTCTGTGTAACATTCTCTTGGCTTCAGTGGTTGGCTCGGGGACCAGAGCCACTGTGGTCAGAGCCACTGCGGTGAAGGAGCCTGTCGCCAGGGCCTCGGGAAGAGTGGACGGGTGGCCTCTCCCATGCTTTGACTCTGGCACGATGTACAGTCTGCAGCTGCTGAAGCCATTTGCCCCCGTGGGAAGGGCAGCCTGTCCGAGAACGGCACCCACTCCGAGGAAGAGGAGCCGAAAGCTGGAGAGAAACCGGACTCTGGTGCCATCCACTGGGTTCCTGGATCAAGCCGTGCCTGAAGCGAGCCCTGCCTTGGGCTTTTCCATTACACGAAGTGATCACTCCCCTC